TGATTTATTGGGATTTATTTCGAGGAATTTAATCCAAAGGAATCCTTTTTGTTGTCGAAATTGGTTTTTTCGTTTATACCTTTGTAGGGATACGTATTTGTTTCATGTATAGAAATTCTTTGTACAAAACTGTTGCAGGTTACACACGTATTAGAAATAATTCTTTTTTGTTTCCCAATTTGTGATTATATTGCCGATAATTATTTTTCAGTATTTTCCCTTTTTTAATTATTGCGATCAATCACTGTCGATGATAAATGAAGATGCGATAGTCGCGTTCGAAGATAAAAACTTTCGCGCGCACAAAGTGGTCTCTTAGTCGATCTTCACCGTTTTCCATTGTTTCTTCTTGTTCTCATCGTTTCACCAATCCACCGGGTTTCCATCTCCAGAAGCAATTACGGAGAGCTAAGCGGTAGTACGCACAACGAAATCAATTAGGCTCGATTACCCGAAACGTCGTTAGGAATTCTGCGCGGTCGGTGATCCGCACTTTATTGCAGGAGAACTTCGGAGAAATTGATGCTTATAACAGAAACGGCGGCGTGAAAGCGAGTGCTAATGCGATAGTAATATGTACGTGTAACTTAATCCCGGGTCACTAACACACCGACAATATTTCGAGTTGACTGATTCACTTTCCGTTCTTTTGTAGCGCCGGTGCGCAAGAATATCTCGAGTATCGTTAAGTTTTATGATCTTTGCTACGTTGCATATTCATCTTTCTTCATATTCCTAATTATGTAGTTTACTTACTTCGAAGTTAATTCTTCCTTGATTAAAATGTCGTTACTTTTTTTTTAGATATACAATAGATTGAAGTTTGAGAATATATATTTAAAGATTTATCGAACTTTCAAAATAAGACCTTGTAATATTAGACAAATAAACGGTATTTTTTCTGCAGAGAAATATTTTTGTCGCCTGTGCTGCCAATTAAAGGCTCGTTCCGATACGATTCCGATATGATAATTCGCGTGAACAAAGCGCGCTTTACGAAACTCCTTGATGGACCAGGAAATCATATCGCGATCGCGGAATCGCTCTTACCTAATCTGACCATCGATTTTCCATGCTACCGCACTCTTCGAGGATGGTTGCTTCCTTTACGTAACGTCACGCTCGTCGTTAAAACAACATCGTGTATAACAAACTTATTATTACATAAACGAGAATCTTCGCGCGCGCGATCGTAGATTGTGTCTAAGTTGGAGGAAACACAATTAGAGTTCGAGCATCGTCAATAATACGAAGCGTCTTCGTATTGACCGACATTCGCGTCAGTATCTCGATCTGACGCGCGGAATTTTTTTGTTTTTTGACGAGCGTGTGTATTCGTAGGATCCCGAGGATCTGCGGTAGAAGAAAAACGCAATTTATGCTAAACAAGACGGAAAACCGACCGATTATTTCCGCGAGTTATATGATTTTTCATCGCTGGCTCGCGGAAAGGTCAGGAAACGAGGCCACTAAGCAACGGGAAGTTATACAATAGAGAGCACGTTCCTATTCTCACAGAGGAAATCCTATATATATATATACTATACATGGTGATGGTACTTCTAATGAGGACTCAATTCCCTTGTTATACCTATCGACGGATTCTTCTCGTCTACCGGAGCGTTCATATAAAAAAAAACCTTGGGTTTTCTATGTGCAATTCTGACTTATGAAAGTCGGGTTTCGCGTTGCAAAAGAAATTGAAGCTACAGCTTGAGAAGGTATTTTGTAGCCTCCCTTAACGCGAGATTGCAGAAATGTACTCGCCCAATGGGATGGTCTTAAGTAAACACGCGGTAAATGGAGCTTGCCGATTTATTCATCGAAAGCGGATTTTCTAAGGGCGCGTTTCGACTTTTTTGTGTTTTGTTGATCAGCTGCTAGATGATCGACAACCGAAAGCGAATTAAACAATGTAAACACTATTCCACCTTGATGAAATGTTGATAAAAAATATTGAAAATATTATTTTACGTAGATAAACTAAATGTTTGCGCTATGTTTGATTTGCTCTCAATTGTTAATCAATTAGCACAGTCGATCAACAAAATCAATATGTGTAAACACACCTTAACGAAGAGTTCAACGAAAAAAATTGAAACAAATGAGACAGCAATGCGCTTTCTGAATAATACGGCGATATTTCGAAGCGACGTCACGCTGTAATCTCGTTTTATCGATGAATCGAGGCTTGTACAGTCTATGATTAATCATCTCAAAGTCGCGTGCAAAAGCTGATTAGCAAGTTATTAGGTATAAATTTTCATTTAACTTTTTATGACGCCATTTGCATCAGTGATGGAAGTAAAAAATACCTTTGGAATATAAACAATATGCAAATTTTTTAACGTACAGATTCAGATAGAGATGCTTATAAATTTTTCGATCAGATGTCGTTAGCAATACCAGCTGCTGCACTACTGTCGAGGAGCATGAGCGATCGAATGTACATGACAATAATTATTCAAATTGTTGAGATAATCTCTAATGATCTATTTAGTACACAAAATTGAGTCGCACATAATAGAATGCAATTTATAGTGAAGTACGGTTATAAATTATCGGAATTTGTAATCACTAAGCGTTCTGATGCACTTCCCACAATAATTTATTAATTTATATTCTTCATTATATTAATAAACTGAATTACTCAGTAGAGAAATATAATAGCGGAACCGAAGAATTCACTGGAAAAGACGATATGGCATTTCCTGTATTTATGCATTTTCATTTTTTGTCTCAGTCTATTTTTTAAACCTTATTTTTTAAACTTCTGCATACGCTCTAAATAAAATCTGAATTACATATAAAATAGAAAATCTCTTTTCTTGTAAATCTTAAAGGAGATTCAATTATATACATATATAAGCCAAAGTGTGTGTATGTATGTGTATGTGCGTGCGTCACAGCTGCCCTTTTCAGAGTGAACCCCTCAATGGATCCGCGCGAGTTTATACCTGGATGTTCTGAAATCACGATCGACGAACTCCATCGTCACTTGACAGTAGACGATCTTGACGACGTACATCGCGACGCGTGTGTCGCGGTTCGAATCGCAGCGGCACTTCGCACTGATGACACTCCGCGTTGTCGGTTCTCTCACGAGTAATTTCCGACATATGCAGGAGACACACGCGGTTTGTCAAACGCCCTTTGTGTCTTTGCACGCACGTGTGCGTAAGCGTTGCGAGAGAAACGGGGAGAGAGAGAGAGAGAGAAAGCGTTGGAAAAGGAGAGACGCATATAGAAACGGAGAGAGAGGGAGAGAGAAAGAAACATTCGAACGCAAAGACGGATATCCGGTGTTCCGCTGGTACGGTCACGCTATACGATAGCGCTATGTGGGCTTCGCGCTAATTAGCGATATTCCGGTATCGCGCGCGGATTGGTTAATCCGCAATCGATCTCGTCAAATAACTGCGTATCGTATCATTCCGATGTATACCTACCCTTCATTGCTTTGTGCTTTTGGTTTCAGAATTGCATTAATGTTGTAAACAAGTGTCGCAAATACATTCGCACACGTTCGATATTCCGCAACAAAAGATGTTTTTTTAACGAACATTGCATTATTCAACAATAATGTGTTTCAATATTATGTTTCAATATTTATTTCAATTTTACGCCTGATGCTAAAATTATCGATGCACAATGTTATGGCTATTATTGCGCAACACGGATTAGCTCACGGTTCTGATTCTTAATTAATGAGAATTTGACGTAAATGCAATAATCTGAGAGAGCCGATGTTTGAATGTAATCGGAGGACGATTTACTTGGGTTTTAGTCTGCGAAATTGATTTTATCGTCTAGAGTTCTGGTCTTAACGCCGCACGGTATCTGAATTTACGTTCTAATTAAATTACCAATATGTTTGCGGGAGTGTTGTTCCAATCCTCGGCAAAATTGTTAATTTGTACACGGTGAAAAAAAAAAAAAACAATCAAGCTTATTCAAGTGCTTGGAATTACGCCGCGTTTATGAGATTTTACAGAATATACGATTTAATCAGAACAGCTTACACACAGCGTAATTGGCGAAAATCGTTCATACCTGGATGATATTATAAGTATTTTTTTATTTCAATTGCGCATACGTTCACTTCATCGTTGTTTCGTTGAAATAAAACGGGAATTCGCGGATAGCGTTCCGCGGCTCCTTCTCCTCATGTTAGAATGAGTCTGGTCTGGACGAAGTCGCGATAATTAGACCACAACCGTGTTAATAAGCGTTGCCTGATGCGTGGCAATAATACAACAGTAATTAACTATTAATCATTACTAATCGTGACGCATCGTGTCTCGAGAAACCACGGGGGGGCCAACAGGATTCGAAGCGAGAAGGTAGAGAGAGAGAAAGAGAGAGAGAGAGAGAGAGAGAGAGAGAGAGAGGAGAGAGAGACACGCGCGCGAACATCTTTGAGAGAGAACTTCTCAACTTTTAAATTATTCACGACAACCTTGTCCCGGTTTCAGCTATCTTATTTCGGTCTTTGCGATCATAGAGGATATTTGAAAAGGTAAATTCCATCTACCGCGCTGTTGTAAAAGCAACTGCATGAATACGACGAAAACAACTCGTAATTATCTCGATTGCAAAAGAAGTTTCGTCGAGTAGTAAGATGAAATGAGATTTAATTCCGTATTTTTGTGAGAGAAAATAATCTCGTAATTACCGGGGCTTTTTCTGACGCTTGAATAATTGAAGAATTGTCGGCTCGGATAGAAAAATATAGTTCGACGTTGCGTTGCAAAAGAGGAGTCATTAAAGTATTTCATCAGTCTTCGAAACGTCGCGCGCGAGCATAATTAATTGAACTGCGTGATGTTCGAGTTATATAGAGCTTTAATACGGATCTTTGATATTTATCAAGAAATTTGTCACTCGACGCTCAACGTCGGAAAATTATCTCTCGAGCGTCTTCGCTCGTTGATCTCGCGCTTTAATATCTAATACTGCGCGAGCGCGCTGTGCATGCATTATTGAAAAATTTTACTCACCGATGGCACTTTTGCCGTTGTCGTTCCTGCGCCCATAACGCTTCTCCAAGATTATGAGTTCCACTTTGCACACCGCCCATTGCCGACCTCGAGAAGAAGAGACCCGGTGCAGCAAATACTCGTTTAACAGCGAGGTGTCGTCGCGCACATGGCACCACGATGCTGGTGTCTCATTGCGAAATATTTTGCGAATGTTTAGATGCCGCGATGATGCACAAGTGTTCCGCAACGCGCATATTTGTCCGTCCGACCTGTTTGGAGTGATAAATCTTGGTGAGCACACCATAGAGGAGGAAACGATAACAATACATGTCATTGCGATGCAATACATTATTCATGATGCCGCTAAACAAACGGTGCTATTTGCTATTTACAATCGATTATTTATCTTTATTTTTTTCTATTCGAAATAAAATGTCGAAGTTATAGCGTAAAAAAAAAAAAGATTGTGCCAGAAATGATACGTCATTAAATATCAATGTGGTGAAAGTTGCCCGAAACTCTAATCGATACAGATCGTTAAATCTATCTGTAGTGAAGTCATTTGTAAAGTTTGATAAGGATTTCGTGCGCAACGTGCGCGCGCAAAAAGTAGTATATCATTTATAATATAAGTAGTACTATTTATAACACACTTAAAATTGTTAACAAGAGCGTCAAGACTCGCACAACAAGAACTTTCGCTATAAAAGATTCAAAACTGCAATTACCATTGAATAAATGTACATAACTTTCTTACGACATGATTAATAATGACGTCTTCAGTTACTAATTTACGTTTAGGACTTTGTTAAAGTTTATGATACACAATTACACTTGTACGTGTTTGATGCTTTCTCAGCATTAGCAACAAAGCGATGTTTGTCAATTTATGATTTTAATCTAATACAAACAGTTGATATACAGTTTTATATGTCTTTATTAAACAAACTCCAGACAACACACATTTTTAGAACAATGATGTAATCATCTCTCTCTCTCTCTCTCATACCGATTTGTTTTTCTGCACTGTTTAGCTACATAATAGAAGCATATGTAACAACGTGAAAGACGTTTAAGAGTACATTGTCAACCTTGTTTGCAACATATTTAGAGCTCAGCGTTTAATGAATGTAGAAGATTATCTAATTTTGTCGAAAGACTGAGCATAGCGCTGCGGAATTTACCGTAAAGAACGCATGCACTCGAGATAGTCTCGTAGTACATGATACCGTCTGGAAAAACCGATATTTGATCAAAGAGACTCGAGAAGAGTAGAGAAATAAAGTAGAAGGCATTTGATCTCTTCTCTCTTTTTCTCTCACTCACTCTTGCGTACGTATTTCTGCGCGTATGTTCACTTAAGTCACATTGAAAAAACTTAAACAGTGAGACTTATGAAAGTTAATCAATCACAGACCGACATCCTTTTGAACGTAACTTACATTTAAGAAAAAAATGACTTGCATTTGGTTGATTTGCTTGATATTTAAGTCTTACTGTTTAAATTTTTTCGTGCGTTTCTGGCTTTGTGCGTTGTTAATATTAAGATATGTTACTAGATGGCACTAGTAAGCGGCTTTCTCGTGAATAAAATCGATGAGAACGGTTTTATATGCGAGACGACGGTAAGCATACGTTATCTTTATTGCGAACTGAGAGATGTTCCAACGTTGAGTTTTTCCGGAAAGGGTCAAGCCGCGAGGTTTCGACCCAATTAATCGAAAACCAAAATTAATATCTTTTAACACATACACAAACTGTTCAAGTCACATGTAAGATTCTAGTATAGTAGTATTCAATTTTCAAGGAAAAAGTTTTTTTTTTTATTCAAACTCGTTATATTTACAATTGATTTTTATTATATTTCTCATTAAGTAGATACTAATATTTCTTAAATTATTAACATTCGAAGATGTTTTACGGGTTTGAACCGCGTTATTGTCATTTTTATACCGACGTTTCTTGAACATTTCAGCTTACTTTATTGGGGTTTCAAGAGCAGCTTGATTCTTAAATTATTGTTTAAATTATTGATTTTCAAAGTAAATTATAAAGTTTTTAAGTTATAAATATACACAAGAATTAAATGTAAGATAACAAAAAAGCTATGTAAATACTAGTAGTGCCATCTAACAAATCTTGACAAATAATGCTTGACTAATAAATATATAAGAATAAAATAGGCAAACATAGAAAAAGAGATCTTTATTACAACAAAATGCCTTTCCGCTCGAGTTATAATATACAAACAAGGCTTTCACTTTATTTCTACTTGGAAAACTTTTGCAAAGTTTACAAACTTTAATACTGTAATTTTTTGTTTGTGTTTATTTACATGGAAAAATATATAGAACAGTGATAGTGCAATACTTTTGTTGAACAATAAAATTATTCATATGTGTGTGTGTGTTGCAAGTATTTGAAAAAAACATTTTTAGTACTATATGTACCACATATGTGGCGTACACATAGGCGATAGTATTTCAGATATCTTAATCGATGAAACATTCGTGTTACAAAAACTCGATCTGTTTACATAACATCTCGTTCATTTTATACGATACGACAAGCTTTCAAGTAAAGTACACATACACACACTTGCACCACTACAAATATATGTACTTTTTGTTGTAAAATATTGGAAATGGAAAAAAGTTACGTGTATAATAAAAAAAAAAAAAGCTAAAAATTGAATTATGAGAAAAAAAATAAAATGTTATATCTCTAAAAATATTCTATATTCAGTTTTATATGTATTATCTATTAATTTGAATTATTATTTATTAATATGAATTAAATCTATTAATTTGAATTATTAATCTATTAATTTGAATTATTATCTATTAATATGAATTAAACTAAGACATAAATACCAGATATTTTAATATTGTGTTATAATTGAAGTGGAATACATATTATTAGCGAAAATTACACGTATATAGTTCTAGAATTGATATCATTTAAATATTTTAAGCACCATTCACACTTACTTTTGATAAACTATAGAAAGCTGTGCAATTTTTATTTCAAAAGGAAGTGAGAGACCAACATACCAAGATTATAAATATACAAATGCTAGTTAGTTTTGATTTATAAGTAAGTACTTTATAAGTTTCTATTTCATAAATTGAAATAAAAGAATAAATAATTCTGTGCATTCTTAATAATAGAAGGAAATTTCACTCACACGACGCTTATTAATTACACAAGAATATCCTCTTCCGTCGTCCATCCCGGTAATATATTTCACCACGTGTTAATATTTCAGTAACTTTCTAGCTGATCATCGATGCGTAAATTTCTTCACTATTTGGTTACAATTTGAAAATTGAACGTAGTTTAAAAACGCATAAGGAAGAACGCGTTCAAAGAACTTTTTTATAATTTTTTATTTTTACGCAATACTTACAAGAATATTTTAAAAGTAAACAAGATATATATAAGAAAACTTTGTTTTTATATGATGATATACTCATATAAAAAAACTTACATGGAAAACATTAGTGCAGCTAATATTAAAATAATGTAAAAACTGAATGCTAATTATTTTAATATTTACGAAACTATTTGAATTCTATACGCGTTTTGCGGCACAAAGAGTTCAGTAACTATATTAACAAAAGTCAAAAGTTAAGTACATGTTTTATTGTTTTAAACGTACACGTGTTTGGTCTGTCTATAATCAAAGTATTCGGAGCGTGTAATACTTCAACTAAACTAGATTTCACAAAAGCAACTATAAACTAATTTAATAATGTATCAAACCTATATGCACAAGCAGCTATATTTAACTTGAAAAGTACAAAAGAAATGAGAGAAATCTATAACTCGTTCGAAGCATCTTCCACACGATGTAGAGAAGTCAATCAATTAGTATGTAGTTCTCCCCTACCTTCCTCCCGTTCAATCTTTCAATTTATAGCCCAAGTCGAGAAATCCGGGTGATCCTCATGCGATTACTAGGTGTTAAAGACGATGGTTCCTTGAGAAAGCCAAGAGTCGGTCAAATCTGACCGTCTCATCAATATCCACCTACTCTATCCTCAGAGACTTCTCTCCGTGATCTTCAATCGTTCATCCCCGTAGAATAGGCGAGATTGATTCTTAGAGAAAAGCTGGAGTACGTTCGGATACGTACGGTACGTCATAGAGAAAAAAGAATCGACCACGTTAAGATTAACTTTACGATCACGTCACTTATTAATTGAGTAGATTCTTACGATAGACTGAAGCGGCACAGAAAACTTTACCGTCTCGCGGAATTTACGAGGATGATGGAAGAAGGGAGGTAGACGCGTGTTCGGAGGTGGTGGTAGATTTCTTGCCACTTCCACCTGTGTGCCAACCTATTACACCTATACAATGCACATCAACCGTACGTACCATCCGTCATGTGCGTGGGGGCGTACTAATTGTTGGACGTTGCCTGAAACACGCGATTATCGCGGCATCGAATATTTTTTACCCTTCGAGTTACACACTTCGTCGCGCCGTAATCGTTATCGAGAGAGATCTTCGGATGATCGCATCTTGAACGATCGAGCAATCTTGATCCCTGCCACCGTCGTTTCCCTTTCGAGACGAGAACTCTCTGATGACAAACGATCACCGATTATCTTCCAGTTTCCTCGAGAAGGGGACGATTTCGATTGTGCACAAGTGTGGATAATATTGCGAATAAATGTAGATATATATATATATATATATATATACATATATATATATATATATATACACTTTTATACACGATTAAACTGTTGTTTCACTTGTTAATAGCGAGGTAAACTTAACTTACTTCCTTGTTTAAAAAAATATAATTTGTTTTTATTGTTATAAAGTATAATTACGTAGCGTACTTTGTTTGGACAAACAAAGCGCTTTAATAGATCATTTTCAAGCCATTAGTTGATTGTTATTCAGATTTACAAGAACGCAAATAACGCACCTGTGTCATTTACAGAAGATACGTCAGCAATTCGATCGGCAGCATAAATTCTTCCGCCAGTCAATCCACCTGTCGTACACATCAATTTCTCACATCGTTGCATTATAGCAATATCAAATGTGAGAAATTCACATTTCCATCATGACATTTTATCCACAGGATTCTTTATATTTTTTTTAATGCGTATTCTAAGGGTGAGAAAAATTTGTTACAACTTATTTCCTTACTATTACATTGGTGTCAACACACACGGCAAACTTTGAAAAACTTCCTAGTGGCTTATAACGCGCGCTTGAAGATACATTTTCAAAGATTGTTAGCGCAAGCGGATTAACGCTCGGTTCCGTTCTGCTTACAGCGAAAAGATCCCCGTCGTCTCATTCCGTTCTCCACACTCTAATACCTTTTTCATATCAACGGCTCGTAACCAGGTTAATACAGCCTAGAGCTCTCGATTGCGCGATTATCACGCGAACGAAGTCGCGGAAACGGTGCACTTTACCGATTCCACACAGATCCTCTTTCTTCTTTTTCTAATTTTAATTATTTAAAAATGAACATATATTTTCATGTGTTTATACGGCAAGTATAAAGACAGAAATACATTAAGCAATTTCCGTAACAATTTGGTTTTCGATTTTAACATAAAACTTGCGTATCTGATATAATATTTTGTAACTTAATATGTGACATATTATTTAATATGCAACATATTACTTACCAGAAGTCACATAAATTGATTAGAAAACAAAATAAAAACTTCATTAATATTTGTGTCATTATGATCAAATATTTTCCAGAATTTTTATATCTTCCCTCTTCCTTGTTATAAATGTAATTTTATATAATATAAAAAATGATGATGAAACAAATATGTAGCGTGTAACTAATGTTTTGATGCTTGGTTTTATAATTGCGCATGTTCGCATATTTTTCGTTTCCTCGTCAGAACGTTCCGTTCTGACTACGTTGTAATTGTAGTTGTGCACATTCAAGTTATTTTTTATTATATTTTCTTTTTGATATATTATTTAATAAAATTATCAAGTATTATTACCAAAAAATTGATTCTTGTCTCTCTCTCTCTCTCTCTCTCTCTCTCTCTCTCTCTCTCTCTCTCTCTCTCTCTCTCTCTGAAACACGATATTGATTAATTAATAACCAGCAACTTAATTAAATCTACATTGAAACTGATTCTGTGTTACAACATTGTTAAATTTTACGCTAAACTGAATACCATGTTATGTTTTAATTGAACGATATTTGATACTTTTACTATCATACAATTTTAAGCTCAGCGTGCTTTACTTACGCAGTGCCTGATCTCAACATTTCTCATCCGAAGTTTTAACGAGTACGCAATATCTGCGATATAATTGTACGCGTACTTACGCACGCCTGCTTTTCTCACGCATTATCCGTATTACGTTTTTGTTAGTCAAGATATAGCACGAGTAATTGAGAGCACTCGATGTGCAAACGAATTTAGAAACTACAATAAAAAGAATCACTACCTATACACATACACACACACATACGCGCGCGAGTAAAAAACTTGGGTTTACGAGCAAATTAACTGCGTACCTTCTTACTGTATCGTCATAAAGATAAAAATACTTTATCAGTCCAAAGAGTAATAAAAATTATAAAATTTATTAGAGCAATAAAAATTATCAAACCTAAAACTCAATCGGTTTTTCATATTTTTACAACCGTAGCGTATGAAATAAAAACATAACTTATGAATCTAGGTTCGGATGTCACCGTGGTATATCATCAAGGACTTCCCAGGATTACGGTACCTCTTCCCTCGAGAAGAGAACATTGCTCGTTCACCATGAAACCGATAACACACACAGTCGGCAATTTTTTAGACATGTTGAAAGCGGAGGATCGTGGTATCGATCGAGCATGCATAACATCGCTAGGTGAGGCAAACGTTTATATCGTACAAATTATTTTTTATTATGATACTGATTAATAAAGTGTAGATTTTTAAATGGCAGATAAAAGATCGAATCGTTGGTTTTCAGATGGCGTGAGGATAGCTTCCAGTAACACAATAGAATCTCTTCTGGAGGAAGAATTTAAATTAATAATAAACGATAACGAATTTATTGTCTCGCCGCCACTGCAAGAAAGGTGCACGACAGTGAGTTATCACATAACGCACATGTGTTTTCCATTCACTTTGTATATTTCCACGTTTGATTGTAAGAGATGCGTGTTGATGTTTCAATCAATCATAATGATTTGTATACGTATCTATTTATACCGTATCTGTGTACTGAATGCCAGTAAACATCTAGTGTGTATTTGGAATTACAAACAGTAAAATACAAATTTTACTGTTGATGTACACGCTCTTGTATATAATAGTTTCCCTTGTTTCGTTTCACTAGTTTCATAAATCGCTTTTTAGCGATATTGTTTGGCTCAAGTTGTAGGTATTTTACATACTGTAAAAACGTGTCTTACAAGTATTGACGTGCGTATTGCACGTTTTGCAGGAAGATCTGCGAAAGCTTGGAGATGTACGAGCACTCATCGGACAGTTGTACGAGGCGTTTCACGTGCGAGAATACAACGTCGACATGGAACGATCAGTTATCGCGGAGCTCGAAGATATCAGATTACAACTGGTACCTATGGAGCAGGTAAAATTGTTGTTAAAATAACTATTAAACTTCATATTATTTAAATTGCCACATATTTGCGGATTACGCAATGTTTTGGCGGCATAAAGATTTCAAATAATAATTAGACTTGTTACTTTATTTGATGGTAATTAAGCGCACGAACGACTTGGCTTTCTAACGCGCGTTAGAAGTAGTTACTCTTTAAACACACTCTATTGTTCATTTTCTCTCACTACGTCCAAGCGTCCGTAGCGTTAAGAGTCTTCTTAATTGCGATATTCTTGAGTGTTCTAATTAGCACACTCGTGTCGTGTACTTCGCACACGTGACCGAACACAAGAGCAGCGATACTTTTCTAATCCCATCTTTGTGCGCGCACTGCGCTCACTATGTTCGCTTATTATGCAACGCGAAGATATTTTCTATAAAATGTTTCTTGCTCCTTCTTTTTTTCCTTTCTCTGTGAAATAATGAAGCAAGATAAATGTTCCATTTTTTACTTCTCTGTTCTTGATTTTCCTGTCTCTCTCTCTTTCTCTCTATTATGTATATTTTTTTATTTCTTTTTTCATATCTGAATAATACTAATCTTCTCTGAAGAAAACTATCGGAATAATATAAGAAAAACGAAGAAAGAAAGTAGAAAGAATTGATTGTAAGTACGCAAGACTTATATTTTTTTAAATTGTTTCAGAAATTACAAGAGATACAAAATGCCGCTTACAAGAGAGCAAATTTCTTTATCTGGACATTTCTAGTCATGATGTCTGTCCAATTCGGGGCATTAGCCAGGCTAACTTGGTGGGAATACTCGTGGGACATAATGGAGCCCGTCACTTACTTTGTCACTTACGGCACTACTATGATGTGGTTTATTTATTATCTCGTTACCAGACAGGTATTAATTAAAATAAATTAGCAAACTAGATATTAAAACTTGAACATAACTCATTGTTTTTTGTTACGTATTTGCACAGGAATATATGCTGCCGGACGTTCTGAACAGGCGTCACCTCATAGTGCTTCACAGAAGAGCACGAAAAATCGGTCTTAACATCGACGAGTACAATTTGTTGAAGGACCGAGCCTATGAATTAGAGACCACGCTGAAAATTATTCGCGGTCCTCTGTACGACTTTAAAACTCAATTGGAGCAAAAACAACGCTCAAGATCCAGTTCCAGTAGCTCAAGGTCACCGAGTTCCTCGCCTAGTCCCAGTCCTAGTCCTGAAAGAGATGTTCCTAAAGTCACGTCGGAGAGCAACGTTCCGAAGAAGTATATCGATGAAACGTATAAAGTTTAGTTACGTTATTCAACGTAGAAAAATGCGACGAAGCTGAATAAAATCAACGATTATATATAGATCGCTTATGTCAACTTATGATCGCTCATCTTCTTCCAACGAAGTATTGGATACACCAAAAAGAGACTTCCTTGGTATGTGTGAAAACGATGAACTCAGGGTAATCTTCAAGTCTGCACAGTCTCGGTGCTGAACGAATTGAATTGCGACGCAAAGGAAACTATAATTTATTTTTGTGTTTTGTGTGTGAGTTTACATAAATGATAAAAATCCGCAGTGATATCTCAGATCTCGACGTAGTCTTCCACGTAGTAACGACGGCAACCGATCTTCATCACGCGCATTTCACAGACATCACAAAGTGTGACGATAATCCAATGCTCAATGCTGTCGATATTTGGAAGACGTTAGAGAAAGATATAGAATGAGAAAGTACTATGTATTAGACATCGTAAATACCTTAACAACAGTTACTAGATGATTACTCTTCAAAACTGTTACGATTTTATAGAAGTAATATTCAAAGAGAGAGATCTTATAAAAATAGCAAAAACATTTATTTGAAATATGATGTACGATCGTATATTTTTACATAACGAGTTATTTTCGAAAATACATGTGATAAAACAATTGTTAAGGGATTTATGATATATATAGTCAGTCAAAATTTACATACTTATCTAATATGATTTATATATATATACACATGTGAATACTTCATATGTGTGTGTGTGTGTATGTATATATATATGTATATATAATTTTGACTAACTTTTTTTGCGCATATTATTCTTGTTAATATAGTCGGAAAGTTATCTACTTCTCAACTAAGTCAGCAAATCATTGCGAATTACTGTTATTACGTTGCCGGCCAACTTTAGTATTTACTTTTGATTGATATTTTATATTATTGTTACAATATTTGTAATGTCCATAATATGTACGTATACATATAGAATATGTCAGCTCAATGCAGCACACAATATTATAAGCACTAGTGCACAGTGGAAAAACTATTCATCACAAATTTATTTGCGTATCTAAATAAATAACATAAAGCATCGTAAGAGGTAAAAAAGTTGATACAGAATATATGTGTGACTATATTCTGTGTTACAACTTATTAATTAGTTTTTATATAATTGTCAAATACTCTACTCTATGTCAACTTTGGATATGTGACAGTCTTCAATTTGCAGTTTGTATCAATGGTGCTGCATTCAGTTGAAAATTCGTTCTAAATAATAAATAGCAACTTAGAAAGTAATTAATATACCTATAATTGTTCTGTCACTATCATTTAATATCTCTCCGAAAAGTTCGACAAAACTCTACGAAAATGTTAATAAAATCGTGTCAAGTGTAAATTGTGTTTCTAATTGTGTACAATAAAGATTAAATCATATGTACATAAAAATGTATGACGTACAAAGCATCTTGTTTGAAAATAGAGTGTATTATAAAGATCTTGTATAAACTATTGAAACAAAAATATGAGTATGATTACAAGTTGCAAATGATAAAATAATATACAGAGTAACAGCACATTTATTTCAGTTGTTACACGGTAGTTCTTTAAGATAAAACGCAAGATCTTAATTCTGCATATTTTGAACAGTATCGGTTTTGTCTTTAATTGCGAAAATCTTACACATAGCTTGTGACGTATTATTACATAAGTTGAAAGAAGAGTAAAAGTTATTGATACCAAATGTTAAATGTTAGGTCATGCATAATATTCGAAATAGCGCTGCTGTTGGTTGTTCACATAAAGTGATATGATACATCGACATTCTATATATTGACGTTGGTGTAATTGTATATACACAAATTTTTCATATAAACTCAACGAAACTATCGTAATAGAAATATAATTAAACGCATTTCAATGACTGTCACACTCTTGTAAATATATCAATATTTATGTAAACATCATTATCTATTATTAATTTTACGTACATAATCATTAACATGGATAAAAGTCCATCCAAAAGTGCATATTTGCACTTACTCGCTCTCTTTCTCTCTTTCTCTCTTGTTTTACTTCACACAATACCAATGCAAAACTAAACGATTTTTAATGTCCCTTCTCGAGACACTCATAAAAACTTTCTAGCTTGTAATCAAACTCCTTGCGTTATATAGAATAATCGATATATATAGTCAGAAAATTAAAACACTTTTACGACTATCACTTTAGAGCGCATTACTACTCTTAAAGCAGCACAAAAAAATATAATGCCACTATTATTGTTATGCTATTCTAGATCGTTCCCACATACGCGAAAGTATACTAAATAAGAATCTATACGTAGAGATCATAAATTCTTCCTAAACTTTTACGAAACTTCTCGCTTTCGTAAAATTCTATCCGTCCGCTATAGATAGTTTGTTGAAGCTATAACCGGTCTTTTATTTGTAATTCATTTGTATTTCGTAAATATGTTAAATATTTAAAAGAGTTCTATACGCTTATTATATTTCATGTTACCGTTACACAATTCATCTTCATCATGATTTATATCCCCGCTAAGATTTCAAGTACGCTTTTATCTAACACATAGAAACAAATCGGGACAAAATAGACTGTCATATAGAATTATAGAAAATTTGGAACTGTGAGAGTAATAAAGATAAAAACTACAATTTCCCATAAGTTTAAATAAAACATGTTCACTGTTTAGTAAAGATTTTATTTTATTTCTCGGAAAGATATTTTGGACAAAGAGTTTGAGATACTCATATTTTTTTTATAGAGCGGATAGGAAGCATAATTGTCCAGATTTTAGCATAAACAAAAGTATATCGCTTTCTAATTACTGCGCTGATTATCTTCCTCAAATATTTTGTATTATTCCTAGAAAGTATGTCATATACATATATAGAATTTTTGTAAATATAAATTATATATACACATAACATAAAGCACACATGTAAACACACATGTATATTGCCTTAGTGCTTTTCCATAAGCTTCAATGCCTAATTTTCAATTGGTGCATCAATTAGATGTAATCAAAGTTAAGATATATATATATATATATATATATATACTTATTACATTAAGTATATAAACTACAAACTAATGTATATATTTATGTACGCGTTATATGTAATTATTCCCGAATTATATAATTATATATTCCGAATTACTAAATTTTAAGAAAAAAGGGAACTATTATATATCTACTAATTAAAAACTCGCCAATCCACTATTTGAGTTTTCATCAGATCACGCAAAGAACAATCGCAACTAATAATTTTGTATAAACTAATCTGTTGTCTAATCATTTTGCAACGTGTCAAAAATAATTTTTATATCTCTTTATATCAGTATATTAAATATTTTTAATGCCCAAACCATGTCGGAATTTGTGCGCCTTCGATTTGAGAAATTTAATTAAAAATCTGATTCTCTTTGTACATAAAATTAACAAATTTATAAAATGACGTTTGTAACCAAAAACAAATCTTATTTTGAAATATATGTGTGAATCTCTGAGAAGTGTCTACATAATAATTCGAAAACCAATTATAGTTAGACAAAGTATGACTTTCTTCCATTTTTTACTTACTTCATGTATGTACTATTGCTATTTCAGGTTTTACTGGGTTTTGCTCCTCTCGAGAAGGAGCGTGCGCCATATAAGCAAAGAAGAAGAAGCTATTTCAGTTTTATGGGTTACTTTTCTGCCATTTAGGCGACAGAGGCGCTGTTAAAGCCATGTAGCAAAATTTTTGTTGTATAATTTGTAAGCAAATCACAAACCAGCATTCTGGAAAATATTTAACTAAAAGTTTCTCACGTATAATAAAAATAACCTTATCATCCTTATTACAGCGTGAAAATAACCTGACTAGCAGATTATAGTGCTTACTTTTAATTTATCTAATTTCGCAAAAATGATTATACCGATCAAAAGGTGAAGTTTTTATTTGTAAACTTATGATTCTTTTATTCATTAATTACAATCTGACTGTATTACAAATATGGTTTTGCGATTATATTTTAGAGATGGAGTCATAGAAGACTGGGCCATTATAGATCTTCAAGGTGACTTAAACTTCGAAAAAGTGGAAGATCCAGATGCTCAATTGGTTGGAGATCTTCATTTCACAAAAGCTGGTGTGCCTATTTTAATTATTGGGATTCATGTATTACACGGGAAAGAAGTGGCACTTGATAAACCTTTGGTTGTGTTAGAAAAGCACAATGACAAGACAGAGAGTGAAACAGAAAACGACACTATAAGAACAGAATATACTGTGAAAGCTGTTGTAAGAAAGAAACTATTGTTCAAATCAAGACCAAAACCTATAGTAACTAATGTTCCAAAAGTAATGTAAAAGTAATAATTATATATATATATATATATATTTATATATACATCACATTTTATTTGTACTTGTATACATTAAATTTGTATTTGAGGTATTGTCGCTCAATCTGTCAGTATTTATGTGTGTGTGTGTGATATTTTATTACAACAAACGTTTAATGTAAGTTATTACAATACTTATTTTTTATATACTTTAAATACAACTTAAGTCAAGGAAATGAAAATCAAATTAATCTTTCATTTCACCCTCTTCATCTGATTCTTCCACTCCTCTAATATACATGACATTGTTACACCTAATTAAGACTTCTCCAAGATTTCCTGTACAAGTGCCGTCGACGTGTTCCTCTGTGTTAGCAAGTTGTAAGTTCATATAAGTGTCTACAGACACTAAATATCCTTTATATTCATGACCCCATTTTAATTTGACCATCACTGGTTTACCAGTCAATCCATTTAAGAATGGTTTAGGATTTATTGGCATTGCTGCTGCCATCGTGAAGAAAAAATTATATCTCTATAAAAACATATTCAACACATGTAAATTTGTTCTCGCAATTAGTCCACATTAGAGAAAATGTACAGTACATATGCAAAAAATTAAATTTTGCTGAGTATAATTTTTCTTACAAATATGTAAAACATGTGTATTTACTTACTTCTAAAGAGAATAAACTGTAATCAAAAAATTATCTTGCAGTAACACGTGCAACTAACCTCGATAGTTGCCGGGTAAAATATATAGAAATACAAAAAGATTTGTATTTCTCAGTTCACTGGCTGGAGCAGTTGAACACGTTGAGCACTTGCTTATTATAAGAGCTGCCAACTGCAAAAAAATTAAGTCCTAAATATATGTTTTTATAACTTTAACGAATAACCAATAGCTGCGTCCAGCAGACTGTTCAGTTGTTATAGACCTAAAGAGCCGTCTACAACTCTCCATTGTAGACGGCTCTTAAGCCTGTTTTACATTGATCGCAAGCGCAAACGCAAGGAACAGGTCTGGTAGAATCGACTAATCGTATTGATCAAATCAGCCAATTGACCAGCGTGATTGGTCAATTCTACGAGATCTATTTCTTGCGTTTGCGCTTGCGATCAATGTAGAACGGGCTTTATGTCTGCACCAGAGAGAAGACTGAGAACGACCATGTCATTGTTGTTTTTTACGACGGTTTCCAGCGCTGGGTTCCAGTGATGAAAGTTTTGGCAGGCTAGCACCAAGGGTGGGAGCCACTGGGAATACGCACACAAGCGAGACCGCCGTCCGTGTGCATGACGTCACACACACGGACGGCGGTCTCGCCTGTGTGCGTATTCCCAGTGGCTCCCACCACCTTGGTGCTCTTGGTGCTAGCCTGCCAAAACTTTCATCACTGCTGGGTTCCACTTCATGTCGTTGGACGTTACGCACACAGACACGGTTTCGTTTATGTGCGTGCCTCCAGTGTGACAGGTGATAGATACAAAATTCCACCTCGTCGGAAATTTTATCGCTATTGTCTATACCCTTATAAACTTTTAAAGCAAAAAATACAAGATTTTGTATCGAACTGCTTTGTAGTGGGTCTTGTTGACAATGAATATTTTACCACATAAAAGGTATGAATTATTTATACAGATCATCTTTTGCATTTGGATTGTCTAATCACAAATTTTTTTCTTAGTTGGCATGTTCGAACAAAAGCGAATATTGCTCGTGTACGACGGGATGAAGCAAATGCCGCAGAAGAAGAAAGAATCAAACAAGCTCGAATTCAAAAAGCTGTATGTAACAAATTGTGCTTTGTAGTTTAGTTAATTATAAGAATATTTCACTATCATTCTTTTTTTTTTCTTTTGCTAATTTAATATATTGTTTATATTTTGTTTATCAGGAAACAGAAACGAGAATAAATATATTAAGACATCAGGCAAGGTCCAAATATGATGGTCGTGCTGAGACTGACAACACCAGCGAAAAATTAGAGCATGTAAATTTTTTTGCTGAGCTTGAAGAAGGCAAAATTGATTATAACAGACCAAATAAGGAACATGAAAGAGAAAAGAAAGAAGAGAAAGAAAAATATGAAAAGCAAATTGGATATCTGACATATTTAGGTCAAGATACTAATGAAGCAACTGGAAAGAAGAATTGGTATGAAGAATTACCAAAAAGATTAACAGATACAGAGAAAGATATAGAGGTGGGAATAAGGAAAAAAGTTCTAGATGACCCAATGATTGATATGAGAAAATATCTGAATATTATGCGTTCTAAACCTGAAGATTGTTCAAAAATAAAGATTGAAAGTGTTAGAAAACGTTGCGACTCTGACAATTCTCATTCAGACCAAGAAAGTCACCGTACACTTAAAAAATGTAAGAAAGATAAAAAACATAAGAAGCATAAGAGAAGCAAAGAATCTGAGAGGAAAGAAGCTAAGAACCAGAATAACATAAATATAGAAAAATTAAGAGTAGAGAGAATGCTTAGAGAGCAAAGTGAAAAACTGAGGACAGAAGCTCTATTGGCCAAAGTAAAAGGAGAGCCAGTGGGTGTTATACCAGAGACTCCTAAACCTACTATAAGACAGAAATATAACTCGCAATATTTTCCTGAACTTGCTAGACAAAATGCAGAAAGAACACCTAAACACATGTATAATTTAGACAAAATGTGATATGCAATTTGTAAATTAAAAACATTTGTTATAAATATGTAATAGATTATGTATTCTCTACTTAATATTTATACATTTATTTATACAAAGCTGTAATTTGAAAATATTTACTATAAAATAAGAGATTTGTTATTTAAGGAATTTGAATTAATTTTCTCATTTTTTTCTTCAATTTCTTTTAATATTTCCGTTAATTTTCCTTATAAATCTTAATAATGTAATACAAAAATAACTTAATACAAATTCTAATTTGGGTGTATATGACAACTGCTTTCTTTATACTATCGAAAAAAATGTTTTAAAAAATAGCTTGATATACCTACATTAAACATATGTAAACCCGGTACAAAGAAACCGGTAGTGAACGAGCGATTGTGCATCGCTCACGTGATGCAACATGGCAGAATGTCTTAGATCTAAGATAATGTACTGAAATTTGACGTTGACATTATTTTTCACTATATTCTTGTATATCACTTGAAATAGTCTTCATCGCTTGTAAGTGAAATTTCTTATCCATCGCCGCACCGGCAATCTTTGTCCGGTACTTTGCGAACGAAAATATTTGGAAGTCTCGAACCAGACGCCCGTATGCGTGCTTCGCCAAATATAATTTCGAATTTGAATGTTTTCGAATAACTTGTCTTTTACTATTTTTATAAGTATCATTGCTCATAAAGAAGTGAATCTGTCAGAGATACTCGAGTTACTTCGAGTTCAATTATCGCCCACTTATTGACAAATCATTAAAATAACCTCATTCTTCGTATATATATAGATATATATATATATATATGTGTGTGTGTATGTATATATATACATATATAATGTGAGATACATTTAAATTTCATATTCATCAATCGAATATTTAATTACTGTACTTGTTGCATGAGAATGCAACATGTATAAAATCTTTATTAATAAAAACAAAATAATTTTTGTAAATTATAAAAGATATATATATCTAGCATCTCTCTTCTTTTTCTTTCCTTTTCTCCTGCTATCTATTAATTTTAAATGTATTTATATTGCAGGTACTATGAACTGATGTAAATAACTAGGAATTTAAAAGTCTTGTTAAATATTTATCTGGATTACTCTACAAGTGTTTTAACAATGACTGAAGAAGCAAATATAGATGTGTCCTATCTAAGTTATGACGTAAATGGCTCACAATATATTTACAAAGTTACACCATATTCAACAGATTTTAAAGAAGAAACAAATACAGTCGACATTGTCAAAGAAAATGATCTGGAAAAAGAAGAAGAACCAGTTTCTTTAGTTTATTTAAATGGACAAGTATATGCGTTTCAAAATGGGCTTCTTCACGAATTAAGTACCAGTCAGTTTCTAGAACAAATGGGTTGTGATGAAAATACACTATTAGTATCAAAAGATATGGAAAATTGTAGTGATGAATTTATCAAAAATGAAAGTATGATAATGCCAAATGCATATGGGCATTCTGACGAACAATACGAAGTTGTTGCAGATGAACAAGGAAAAAATCTTGTTGTACAAAATAATGTTAATATTGATAATAATGTTAATATTGATGATTTCATGGAAGTTGTGACTGCATTCAAGTGCAAGATGTGTACTTATGTACATCAAGACAAGATACAATTACTAGATCACATTCAAAAAATACATTTGAATTCAACTGTCGATATTGAGGTAACGATCTAGACTTGAATTATATAACCCATAATTTTTTTTAATAAAATAACTATACTTTAAAATCAATCTGTGATTTAGAACTTAAAAAATATAAATTGGTTTACTTTTTTATGTATAGTCAACTGAAGAACCTAAAAACATGGATGAACTAAGAGTAGTTTATATGTGCGCAGATTGTTCCACCTGCTTCCCTTCTTCTGAAGATTGCAAAGAACATATGATTAATGTGATTACGTTGATGATTTTAATTCTCTGAAATTTAACCTGAAATATATATTTCTGTGTGCAGTATGGTAAAATATATACATATATCATTTTTTTTCTAGGATCATCAATTGACTGACATTGCAAGTGATGAAGCTGGAAAGGAAAATTTGACAAACGATCTAACAAATCCTGATTTACTGATTCAACATATGGATCAACATATCGAAAGCAACCAGACAGAACGTTCTGTAAAAATTCCAAAAACATTAAGCTCGGAATATATGCGCAACAGAAAAATAATAGAATTAACAGAAAGAAATGTGAAGTATGTAATAGTACAAGAAATGTTTTATTAACTTTATTTATTGCCACTTTAATGGTATATAACTTTTATAAGGTGTTCGTATCAAGGCTGTCCTTATAAGTTTCCTTCGGAAGAAGTTATGCAGCAACATATTCTTTGTCATGCGGACATTGATAGTGTGACAAAATTCAAGTGTACTGTATGTCGTGACGTGAAATTTACAAAGTGGCGTCAATGTAGTTTACATTTATGGAAGAAGCATGAAATTGGTTTGTAAATTAGATACAAAGTAAATTATTACTATGTAAAAAGTGCTAAGAAAGAATTTATATTTGTAACTATTTTTACTTTTATAGATATAGGCTTGTTCACTTGTAAAATATGCAAAGCCTACAAAAGCGCGACTATGGTCAAACTCTTGACACATATGAGAGTGCACAGTGAGACTCGTGAATACGCATGTCCAGACTGTGGTAAATGTTTTAAACAATCTAGCCAATTGCGCAATCATCGTGTGATGCATTTAGATCGCAAAGCGCTGGATGTAACTCGATGGTATACTTCCAAAAAATGCGAAATTTGCGGTAAAATTTATGCAAACTCGAAATCTTTGAAAAATCACATTCAAGCGGTGCATTCGAAATTACGCCCGTATGTTTGTAATGTTTGTGGCCATGCCAGCGCTAGAAAGGCAATGCTGCAAATGCATTTTCGTCAACACACGGGAGATAAGCCTTTTAGTTGTGAGATTTGCGAATATAAAACTGGAGATCATAACACTTTACGACGACATGTTATGCAACACACTGGTAAGCATTCTCTTATTGTATTGAAATTGTATGAATTATTAAGAGTTTAAATGACAATGTAATGCTACAGGATTTCGACCCTATAAATGCCCTCATTGTTCATATACCGCAATTCAAAGTAGTAGTTATAAAAATCATTTAAAATCAAGACATCCTCTGTTGTCTGGTTTATTTACGTGTGAACTGTGTCCTTTTAAAACGGTAAAACATGAAAGTTATATTCAACATGCAAAGGATCACGAAAAAGGTTTAATAAAACCAAATATGCAAAAGAAAGGTGATAATATTAAAATTTTTTAAACTGTATCGCATTTTATTTTCTATATAAAATCACACACGTCTTTTATTTAAATTTTCTTTGCATTACAGATAGCGAGAACGTCGAAGTCTTTCCTGGTAATATTGCGGCAGCACAATTGGTTTATAGTTGCTTAGGTGCCTTTTCGAGAGACGGGGATACGTTAGAAGCTAATTTGATGTCTTCCTCGACATCAGCCGATGGTACTTCACAAACAATCACGATACAAATTCCATCTAAACATCTCGAAGGTTCATTATCTACAAGAGACAGTTTGCACAGACCTGATTCTACAATTGAACAAGAAGACGACGAAACAATGCACTGCTTTCTAAAAATTCCTAAAGAAGAAGAGGAAAGTATAGACACTGGTGGTATAACAATACCTGCAGAACCTGAAGAGAGAAACATGAGTACGATTGATATTGAAGAAACGAGCGTGATAACCGGTGATATTGAAGAAACAAATGTGACGCACATTGATGTTGATTCGTGAAATTATGTAAATGATTATATTTAATTATCAAAAACTAATAAAATAACTTCAACATTATTCAAAACAAATAAAAACTTGATGTTACAGATTTTATAGTGATGTAAAAAACAAAAAAGATAGACAAAAATAAAATGATCTAGTCAATATCTTTTTTATCAGGATAATATTTATTTTAATATTACTTTTGTTTCAATTACAAATTTTTTCGACTTTTCGTAAATCTAATTTTGAATATGCAACAAAGATTGTGTTCCGTTATTTACTGTCAGTATTGAAAATCTAAAGTTCACTTGACATGTACTGTAGATTTCCAGTAGTGGCAATGAATTTCGGAACGCAGCTAGAATCACATGTAGTAGCTTATACTTTATCCTGAAATAATCTTCGAAAAAATGACACTACGGTAGTATTCAAATTTTATATTTAAGATCGTCTTAAGGTCATCTTCAGATGCTCTATAGCTAGACAAGGTCCATACAGCAACTTAAAATGACACATATTTTTTATCTTAAGTATAAAAACGAACCATGAATATTGGCTTATATATTTTGAATATTTTGTACTATTTTGTGAAATAATTGGTCTTTTTTTACTTTACAATATAAAAATACAATAAATAATACGTATAATTATTATTTTTTGTATTTTTCTTGTTTAATTTCATAGAAAATATATTCTTAATGATATAAAAAGTTTAATTGAGTCTACACATTATATATTTGTTCTTTCTGATCGGCCCACTGGTCTAGCAACCACAGTGTGAGACTGTCAATCTGGAAGTCCCGAGTTCGAATCCATCATTAAGGATTTTTTCGGGCCGATCCTTTTTTCATCGAACTTATCGGGTCTCCGTTGTTTATCTGCTGTAATCTGCAATAATGGTGGTTTGGATTCCACCTAAAACTTGTAGATCCACTGATTTCCTAATAATAAATCATAGTATAGTGTACATATACTCTTTGAGAGTTGGAAGAACTATTAAACCGTATTGCTCTTTCTCTTTCATGAGGAAATACATTTATTGATAATTAAAATTATATAAGAGTATAAAATGTTAAATAAAAAATAACTAAAAGTGTTTATAAAATTACATTATTCTTTTAAGTATAATATTGTAAGATAAAAGTCCAAGTCTCGGCTGACCAGAAATGTAAAAAAGAGACTATGGAATCTGATCTCATTACAAATACTGATAAAACTTAAACTAAAAATTGAAGTGGAAAATAATCGTATAATCTTCTTTGTTCTTCTTTTAAATTATTATATTCTCGCCAATTCACCATAATAGGCTGTACAAGCTGTAAATCTCCCATTAAATATATTTTGCTCAATTTCCACTGCACCGTACCGTCCAGCTAACATAGTCATCTGTAATATTGTTTGTGTTTGATCACTTACACAAGATAAAACACATGTCATCTTTTGATCATAAGTATAAAAATTATTTACCTGTAAGGGATCTGAATTCTTGGGCAAATAATATGCCACGTGATCGGTTATTTTTCTAGCTGCTTCAAAAACACCTTTTCCGCCAACAAAAGGCAAGATACTTTCAAGATCAAATACTTTTTGTTTTTTGTAATCAAGACCGCCCCAAGGTGGACTTAAAAATACAACATCCGCGATCAAAGATGGTGCTAACTTCAGAAAATCCCCAATAATGAATTCTATTCTATCTTCCACGCCATAAATTCTTGCATTATGTCGAGCATTTTCTATTTTATTGGGGTCGATGTCTATTGCAATCACTATAAAAAATAAATTAATAAAATGTAGTTTTACTCTTTAAATATTTATAGAAAAAATGTACATACCTCTTTCACATGTAAATGCAAATTGAATGCTATTGCTGCCAGCACCGCAAAATGCATCAATGATAGTATCACATCTACATCTCTTTGCTATGTTTTTTGCTATTTCTTCAGGTGTTACGGAATACCAGCTCTCTACAAAAAGAGTACATTATTTATTTTCTTAGACAAAAATGGTTATCTTTTTTTAAGAAATATAAAATGCATATAAAATTTTAGAGAATATAGGTATATCGGTGCTGGCATTGTGATGCTAGCCTAACTGAAACACTAGGTTTACATTTTGCAGCTCTATATAAAAGTACATTAAGAGAATATAAAACATAATGTTGGAACTAGCAAACCTCACTTGTGCAAGAGACAAAATAAATAAAATCAAATACATACCATGGTCTAGTTTAATTCCTTCATCATATTTGCTAAATAAACCATGCCGTCTGATATAAAACTTAAATAGCCTCCGATCATTAGCTATTTCTTTTGGAATGGTTTTGTTTTGTTTTCTGAACTGCTTCTTCTTTTTTTTCTTTTGCATGTTTCTTACACTATCTTCATCATCAGAACTAGATGTAATTTGTGTTTTTGTATAGGAACCCTTATCATTGTGCTGTACATTGTCTGAGGGTACTGACAGTGAATCATAAGATAAATATTTTCTCAACTGTAATTAAAAATACTTTGTTAAATATTATGCTCAGCATAATTAAAGCATGGCATATCTAAGAATATATGTCAGTTCTAAATTAAACTTATAACTATATCTCCATTCAATAAATTTTAAAATAATAAAATAATTGTTCTTATAAATTACAAAATAGTTTGTTCACTTATTTATTTATGAATTTATTTTTGCTTTATTATTTGATTTTTACTAAAATACTAACTACTTTTTAAATAAATTGATTTATAAACTAAAACTGTGATCAACGTAACCTCATTGAATGTAGAACATATAAGATGGACACTGGCTCTAGTGCGCGTTAAACATATAATAAAACATAAAAAAATAAAGTATAAAGATGGAATGATGTTTCGAATCATTTGTAGCGCTACTTTCTAGCGGCTCCTGCATACAGAAAACGCGGCAACGTTCAGCACGCGGCAAAACACGCTTGAATCGAGTTTAACATTTTACGCGCAGCGGAAGTTGATGTATCTAAAGAAAAGGGAGATGTTGATTGGTTACCGTATAACTCACGTGTTATTCTCTAGTTATTGCGTCCTATTGGCAGGAACTATGTGATCTGCAAAGGCTGCATTCGAGGAACGCACTATCAGCGCTATTGCATCATTTTCTTTGTTTTATATCTGATGAGCGATAAAAATAGAATAACAGCGCATATAACGTGCTCCCTGAATGCAACTAAACAACGAATCAACACGTTACATATGACAACGCAATAGTCATCCAGCATTTTGCTCTTACGGAAAGACAGCATATTGATTGGCTATTGTGTCGCGTAATTTTCTATGAGCGTAACGCGTTGAAGCGTCTGTAGAAGTTCTTAAGCCTTGCACGAACCAATCATAGTTCTATGTAGTGCAACTCAAGCTGCGTTCCGATATTCACAAGCAGTACTAAAGATATATAATTTTCACATGCTATAGATTTCCAGTATTGGCAGGGAGTATTGGAACGAAGCCTTAATATAGTCAAAAAAAAAAAAAACCTATAAATTTTTAGTACTAACGACGAATTTTTAAACGCAACTATTAGATTGAAACTGCATGTACGCTCTGTTTAATGAGTGAATATCCTCGGTCTGAGCATAAGAAAACCAAAACGGTTAAAGTAGGGACAGCGTTGCGCACGGAATACTCATTGTGTGAAAGCTAAAGGCGATTTTTGGCAATCATATGGTATAATCATATACCAAAGTGTTCCAAACCTATAGTTCGAGTGATTTCAAATTATAGTTTGGTACACTTTGATATATGTACCATATGATCGCCAAACATCGCCTTAAGATTGTAGAGTATGAGGCTTTTTGATAAAAGCATACGCAAAACAGATGATTTTCCGCTCCGATATTTTCTTATTGAACAGAGTGCTACAAATTTTTCGAAACATCATTGACTGCAAAATTCAGCGTTTTGTATATAGAATAAAATATAGAATAAAACTTCAAAATAATGTTTCAAATTATTGTAGCAATACTTTGACCACAGCTTGAAACGTTTAAGCACGTGAGTTCCTAAAATATATTTACCACGTGGTCAACATGTGATCACAAATCTATTGATTTTTTCGTTCATGCAATGTGATGTTCTTACTATTGAATTGGCTTTTGCTCCTCACACACAGGGGCGTGCGCCATATATGCAAAGAAGAAGATCTTACTATTGAATAATCATATCGAAACAGCAAATTTGGAACTTTGTTTAGGAATAAATTTTACCTCAGCTGTATCTTCGATGATTTTTTCTCCTGCGTCCTTTAGTATGTCGACATCACTGGATTTCACATTTCTCACATTTTTCCGTTTTATTTCTGTTATGAATTGGGAATACTTAAGCCCATTTGAGGTATATCGCCTGATATTGCGTTTTCGGTAAACAACTTCGCCTTGCATATTTCTTTGGTTTTCGTTTTCAATGATTGCGCCGTAATTCATTTGCCAAAAAGCTTTTTTCACACTTTCTAAGCCATCGCTACTCGATTCGTCTTCTTCGAAGTCCACTGAGCAACTAACAGGACAAAAGTGACTAAAAGTACAAAAAAGTTCAAAAAAAGTGACTGTAGCTGTAAAGCACAGTGACTGCGAGAAGGATAGAAAAATAGAAAGAATGTGACGAATAGAAGAATAGAAAGCATGTGACGAATAGAAGAATAGAAAGAATGTGATGAATAGAAGAAAAAACTACCTTTTTATCTAAAGAATTTACATTAAATTAAAATATATATATTACGAAAAAAGCTATAATAGTTAATTTATAACGTCATTAATTATTATTAAGATAAACAATTACACCTTGTTCAATGAGAGAATATTTTTGGAGTGAACGAACACTCGTCTGTTTCCCGCGTATACCCTACCATATCAGAAACCGTATGGGGGGGGGGAGCAAACCCGGCATTTAACTCTCTCCTAAAGAGGCAAGTTTTTTTCACAAATTGTGTTTTTTATCTTGAAACAAGTTTGAAATGGTTAACAAATTAAATCATACATCTATTCGTGAAAATTTTCTGTACAGCGAAACCTTTCTGTAAAACTCATAATTTTTGGAACGGAAAAATTGCTCCGCCCTCCCCTAAAAAAAAATCCTGCGGACCCTCATGCCAGAAACCTTCCGTACTCCATCATTGACTGCCAGCAAATAACTTGTGCGCAACACTATCTCTACTTTATCTTTTACTGCTCCTCTGCGCTAACAAAGAGGATATTCTCTCATTGAACAGAGTGTAGAAAGCAAAAATCATCGTTATTTCTGGACTGTATTCGGAGAACGTGCCATCTACGCTTACATCATTCTATCGCTCATTAGATATCAAACAAAGAGAATTAAACAAGAACACTGATAGCGCGCTTCCCAAACATAGCTCTTATCAAATCGATTATTAATGACACTGTGAGATATACTCTTAGTTTTCACAAAAATTATTTTACTACACTAAAAACAATAAAAACAAAATGATAAGAAAAATCAGAGGAAAATAAATATATAAAATAAAAAATGGGAGATCAAAAATTGAGAAAACAATAAAAGAACAAGACAAAAAAATATTATAATTCTATATCTAATCAAAGGTTGAGATTAAAGCTCCTAAACACTCACGACTATCATATCTGGCAGCATAGTTGTTATAAATGAAAACGAGAAAAAGAATTCATTACTACTACTAACCTCAGTTGATGAACGTTTTGAACATCTTCATAAAGTTTATCTCCAGTAGAAGAGTCTTGTTCATTACTAATAACAGAAGCTATTGTTTCTTTTTTGGTAATTTCTAGCTGATTTTCATGTATTTTTTCGTCAGCATCATTATCTTCAATCAATTCTTTTGCTCTTATTGCTAAGTTTTTCAGAAGTGTACCTACTGAGGTCAAAATTCTCTTTTCTGCTTTTTTCTCTTCTTTGGATTTTGAGTTCTTTTTTCCTTTTTTTATACTAACTGTGCTTTTATCATCTTGTTTTATAAGATCTATGTCTTTATCATCTTTCCATATATCTGTCTCATATTTGTCTGAAACTTGTAAACATATTTTATTAGGTTCTAAATACGTTTCATTTTCATTCTCTTGGGTTTCATCAAATGAGTCAAATGACATAGGAAGTTCAATAGAGTTATCAGGATAATCTATACAATTAATACCATCTATATTGTGCTCTCTTTGATAATTTGCTATGAATATTTCATAATGTTTTTGATATTGTGTATGAAAATTTTCTTTCCATAGATACTGCCAACACTTTTCACTATCTTCCATAGTAAATTCGTTCTCCTGATCAGAACTGCTACTAGTTATACTACTTTCGATGGAACTAGTAACGGAAGTGATGAGACTAAACGAATGAACAGAATTAGAATCACAACTAGAACTAGTTAACGTCATTTTAGTAACGTTTGTCATGGAATCGGAAGTTGCGTTTGTCTTTGCTATTGAGCCATTAATAGAATCGCATCTTGTTAATAATCTTTCATCTTCTGCATTAGATTGTTGATTATAAGTCTCTTCTATACTGAGTGGACTCAGAGGATTCCAACCATCGCCATTCTCTTGCAGTATCTCAAAATTAATAATTTTTTTCCTATTTTCTTCTGCATCCTTATCGCTACTCTCTTGTCTGCTCATTTGTTCAAATAAAAAACTATTGGAAGAAGATATTGCTGCTGGCTTTAACTCGTCATTCAAATTATTCTGAATGAAAGTGCCTGCAAAGTTAGAATTATCGCAATTCTTGTGCGTTTGATTTGGAAAACATGTATTTTGTTCAAAATAATTTTCTACGACTTCTACTTCATCAATTTCCATATCCTGTGACTTTTTATCTTCTATCGAATTATTCTGAAAATAATCAGGGATATAATCCGTGTATTTTTCGAGCCAAGATTTCCATATTATTTGCTCTCCATTCTTGCCCCAAAACTTTCCCCATTCTGTATCCATTTCACTTTTATTACTTCCGCAAAACGCGGAATAAGGATAAGTGTAAGAATCAGACTCAAATTGCATATAAGAGGTGAGATCCTTTTCATGTGTTTCCTTATTTGATATAGTAGTACTATCTGATAAACTTTGCACCATGGATTCCTTGTCACCTAATATAAATAACATAAATTTAGTACAACTTGTTCTTTTAAAGTAAATAGATCACAATTTGAGAATTGATGACAAAATACAAACTACCTGATATATGTTTATATTCAGTTGCATCTACACTTTCATAATTATTTTCTATCATAGTTTCTGTGGTTTGAAAAGTTTTTCCATAAGATGCTACAAGATTCTGTATACTTTTTGCCTCATGCTGATCGTGATATTCAGATAGGTCTGCACCAGAATCAGACTGATGCAGACCAAGCTTCTGAGTCAGGGAATGTGCAGCGGGCCAGTGAGCTGAATCACGTACAGAATCATGTTCATCTGTAGAGTAATAGTTATCTGTGTGAGATGCACTGCAATAACAGCTTACTGGTTCTTCCTATATCAAAGAATTAACAATTAATTTATCACAGTAAGACCAAATAATGATAGTTTCTATTTGCTATACTTTATACATATATTAGTGAATGAAAAGCTATCATACATCATGTTTTTCTATAGATTGTGTCTCTATCCCTGATCCCTTGCCAATATCCACCATCTCACCCACACAGTCCCCATCAATATCTTCCCCTTCACTAGCATCTTCAGAAGCTAAAATTGTGCGAGTTTCAGAAGTCCTTGACAGAATAATAGATCAATAGCAGAAAAATCAAGAAAACTGATTAATGTATTAATTATTAATATATTAATAATTTAGGTCTGTATTACAAAAAATTCAATGATAGTTTATGGTTAGATATAATAAATTAAAACAATGGTTTACTTTAAAGAAGAGAAAAAAAGATAAAGATACTTGTGCTTAGCTTTCAAATAGATCTATTAGAACTACATGTCAAAGAACTTTTCACATTCTAAACAATGTTCAAAACAAACATTGAATTTTTATCTTCTATTTACAAGTTAGAAAAATTCAACAAAATAATATCAATTATGTTTACATAACAATGCTAATCTGGTTTAGTAACAAACATTCTGTGTTGAATTGAACAATCACATTGATTGATTGGCTCAATTGACCAATACGATTGGGTTTTCTTTCTTATTGACTTCTGTATATAGAACTCTATGAAATCCATTAATAACAAGAGACAAGAAGAATGCAAAGTAAAAAGTTAAATAGTGAAAAGTTTTAAATGAAATATGATCAATTATCAAAAACAAAAAAAAAACATAAGAAAGAATTAGCCAAAGTTCATAAATAAAAAAAAGATAGTTAATAAATCTATTGTTTTCCAACATAAATGTTTTCTAAACACTGAAGTGAGTCCAGTATAATATAGTTATTATCTCTACCACATGTTATTTCTCTTATTTTGTAATAATATAATATATTTTGTAATAATGTAATATATATTATTACAATTCAAAAATTTTGTAATATTTATTCATAAATAAAGATTATCAAAGATTGTCAGTTTTAAAGCTCTTATATTTATGTTATAAATTTTGTTTTCCTATTTTGGTTTCTTTGGTACATAAACAACAGCTTAGCAACAATTTTATTTTGTTTAAGAGATTATAATTTATAAAACGGAAAAATGTTGAAAAGATTAACTGAAAATCTAACATGACCTATTCATTATTAAAGAGTAAGTGTCAAGGTTAAATCACATTTTACACTAATCAATAAATGTCTTAATTTATCGTGGAGTTTCGTATGGTCAATTATTATAGCCAATTATATATGTGAACACTGTTGGTATATTGTTTTGCAAACATTGCTGAGAAAGTTAACGTACTTATAAGTGAGCAAACATATTCACCGGATATATAATCTGCTGCACAGACAACAAATGTAATCGTCTGGATCAGACGAGTTTTTATCCGCGATGTAGATTTCGGCTAAAGCCTCCCAATGCTTATCGCACATTCCGAAAGCAGAATCTTCTCGGTTTACGTTACAGACGATTGTCACAAATACCGCATGTCTCACCCCGAATTTTCACGACCACCGCGAAAAAACAATCCGCCAAATCCTTTTACCATGCAGCATCGCGTGGTTGTTCACTTCCTGACAGGTTTGCCACAAAGTGAGGGATTTCGTCCATAGGGATACAGAAAAATTAACTAATCACGCAGCCACTGGCTTTTGATATTCACTGCCAGTATTGAAATCTATCGCCGGTATAGTCGGTAACTTGTATTTAAGATTGTCTCATGTTTGTCTTCAAGTAGTCTGTATAGCCAATGAGACAGTTCATAAAAAACATTTTAAGATAACTTAAGTTATCTTAATATATAACATAAAATATAAAATTAATTGTAAATGTCAACCGTAGATTATTTTCCAGGTTTAAATCTCGCGTGTTCATAAAATATTTATTAATATATATAAAAATAAATTATCGACTGTATCGAGTAATAAGCCCCTTGCACAATGGACGGAATAACGATAGCGATAGAAATAATACCAGTTGTAAAGAGTTTATATTTATAAATAACGGTAGGAACAGCGAAATCTAACATAAAAAATTACACATGTATCAATGCAAATCAGAAAAACAGAATAAGCAATAGCGATAAAATTTCCGACGAGTTGGAATTCTGTGTCTAAAACTGTGTTATTTCATCGCTATCGCTATTCCTTCCATTGTGCAAGAGGCTATAGGTTTCTCTCGAATGTGTATATGTGATACCAGAGAGAAACCTGAGAGCAGCCAGGTCCATAAGGCCCGAATTCATAGTCGTCTCTCAGATCTCAGATCTCAGATCTCAAGAGAAAGAGAAAGAGAGAGAGAAAAAGAGAGGGAAAGAGATGAGATCTGAATCTGAGATCTGAGAGACGACTATGAATTCGGGCCTAAGAGAATTTGTAATCACTTTTCCGCCCCGTAAACTAGCGCATGTCCACGGGTGGTACACATTGGAACTACGCAGCCAGTCCACGAGCGACACGTCGGTACGTGCGATATGTCTATATTGTAGTTCCATTGTGCACCACTTGTGCGCTTGTTTACGGGTCGATGAAGCTATCGCAGAAACTCTTATGGGCCTGGCTGCTCTCGGTCTTCTCTCTGGTGATACGGACGTGGAACGTGCTGTCATCTACATAAGATACAGCAGACACCATTTATATACACACAATTTTGGTACTTTACAATTATTAGAGAGAATATGCAATATATTTACTTAAAAATCTTGTTTTAAATATATACTTTCTATTAATTATTAATATGTATTGGTGTGCAAATAAATCATGCAACCAGATAAAACAAATTTAACTAAAGTTCTAAAATGAAATATATTTCTAACACAAATCTCTGTGCAGAGACATTATGAAATCATTAAACTTTAGCCTATTACAATCCAGCATGTTATAATTTTCGAAAGATAAACACAAAAATACACGAGTGTAATACCCGACAGATAACGCTATCTTGCGGGATGCTGCGAAATTCTGCATGCGTGAACAGAGCAATGGCGTAGGCGGTGTGTATGTGTATGTGTGTGATCCATGATAAATTAATTTTTATTGCTTCGCGGTTGGGAAAGAGGGAGAGCGCGCGTGTGCGGCTCTTTCTATTGGTTGCTGATCGGGTACCTCCCACTTCGTACAATGGGGCTCTCTCCGGCTTTATTTTGCACAACGACGATGATAGAACGGCATACCATTTGTCTCGTCTTAAGACGAAGCAAAACAAACGAAGGAACCAATTGCAATATTGCCGCGGAGATTGCAAATTGCATGCGTCGGCGGGAGTCTGGCGATAATAGGATGCGAATATTTTATGCGAAACTGCACAGATATACCACTTTGCTGATTTTATACGAATCACTAAGTCACACGTGATTGAATTTGTTTATTCCTCGTGCGAATTTTACGATTGATCAAACCGTTAGAGTGATATATTATAATATTTTGAAAACCATAAAAATCAACATGTATCTCACTAATTGTAATCATTAATAAAATTAGAATCGTGAAACATTTTGCACATAGTAAAGTCAGTAATGTAATAATTAACTTCAACTGTAACTTCAATTGTACACATCAATGTTACTGATTATTTACCCGAATATAAACAAATTAGATACATGCAAAAATCTACTTCTTTATATATGTACACGTATATATAAATTTTATATGCATATCATAAAAACGTCATTTATCTCTAAAAAAATATTTGTGCATAAGCAAGTGACGAGCCGAATTTACTCGTTCGAGCATTGAAGTCACTGACACTATCATGTGTTGAAATCACCAGAGACAGACGGCGACGCACGCTTATTCGTACTTTACTTTTTTTCTCTCTTATCTCAGCAAAGTATAATTAGATATATCTATTATTTATTATACGCTTCAAATATCCGATTTATCGTGTGAGATTAGCTCTCACAATTCTGTTAACTCTGATTCTTATAATAGCTCGTTAACGTTACATAATGAAAGCAATAAAATTTATCGATGCGCCAGGAAAAAAGTTGCACATAGATTTCATAATAAACAGTATATTTTGAAAACTCTGTGATATAATGGACATTTATTTTTCTGGATCTCTGTGTTATAATACATATTCTGGAAAATCGTGGAAACACGTTGATTAATTTACGACTTATTTAGTAATCATTTATTTGCGGGTTGAACCTACACCGCGCTACAGCGCGATTGCGTTTACTTGAAGCTACACGCTTGCAGTAGCTGGTTGCAGTAGAGCGCACAAAAAAAAAGATACGGAGGCAATAAAGTATTCTAATATACGACGTTGTAGCGCTTTCTTGGATCGCACTTACGAGGTGGCTAACTGTTATAGTTACACAAACCACCGTTAAATGTACGTTACGCGCCTGTCTGTTTACAACAATTCTTGAATCTATTATTTTTGCTTTTTTAGTTAATTTAATTTACTTGATACTATACAACAAGAAGAATTTAACGCTCCAATATAGTACTTTCTCTTACTCGAATTTTCCAGGTAGAAATATCTTGTGACAACACGCGACAAGTCGATGCTGTTCTTCACTACTGAAAAATCGTGACTGAAAGTGTATTTGCGCTCATAAATAATTTTGCATTTTTCATAAGAATTGTACAAGCTTAGAAAAGAAAATAAAACTGTGTTTCGCGAATAATCTGCGTGGGTTTACCGCTGGAATGAGCAAAAGAAAAGCTGAAACTGAATGCATAGGACTGTAAGGGAAAGACAGCGTGTATACATACGATATGTCTCTTTGGTCGCGAGAGATTTGCGACTCCTTGCGAGAGGAGCAGGTTGATGGTGAGGACAAGAGACGAACGCGGATAGACGGCTAGGGACAAAGTACGAAACGAACAGCTGGAATGACGGAGAGAAACAGGCGCGCGAACGAGCGAGAGGGAAGCAGCTGGCGGACCGTGTGTTACCTCCACCGTGCGCGATGCAGAGACGGATGCTGCGCCGAGGCGGATCGAGAGGGAGAAATAAAGAGAGAAAGAGAGAAATGGGGTGGGAGATCGAGAGGGATACGCGGATAGAAGGAGCGAGAGCGCGAGAGTGATCGGTCCGCGAGGTGCAAGAAAGACGGCGAGAGAAGGCCGCGGTAGTCCTTCTCGGCTGGCTAGGTGAGATAAGGACGAGGCGGACAAACGGACTGACGAAGGTGCCTAAGGTAGGGGATACTCAGTCTCGCGGCCACGTGCTACACGAGCGCACGCCCCGAGCCGGCCGGCGGTCCAGCCAGCCAGCCAGCTAGCTACGAATACCGTCCTCTTCTTCGTCGCCCCCGTATCATCCCGTGTTACCTCCCGTTCCTCGCGCGTTCGTCCGTCGTCTCTTTTTGTTAGACGGAAACCGTCGAAAAGTAGTTTCGCGCGATGTAGTTTCGAGCGCGAGCGAGCAGCACGCGATCGGTGGTGGTTCCTTCAACATGCTCCGGGACGCAGAACACGCGCGGTGAGAGGAATCGAAGAAAAGATTGAGAAAACACTCAAACACATATTTGTGAGTTATCGATCAATGATACTGTGAGGTTTTTCCAGCGAATAATCACGTTTCCTCTCTTTACTGGAGGAGATATATTTTCAACTGTTACGAGTGCGCTTCGACGTCGTGTTAGACGAATGGTTTGGTGAAATGACGTTTTATTGCGACGAGGACGATCGCAAACTATTTGACAACACAGTGCGTAGATGAGGAACAGTGCGTCGTGTGTGTTTTCCGTGTTGGGAAAAGGCGTGTGACGATATGACGTGCGCTGTCACGGTAGACTGACGGCGCTGTCATAGGCGCGACAGTGCACAAGACTAGACGGAGGGTGTAACGAAACGAAGAGGGATAAACGGAGGCGTAGAAGAGAAATTGCACACAGGTGTGTACCGAGATACTTAGATACTTTTCCACACAGTAGCTCTCTGAGTTTTTTTTTTCTCAATGTCAGAGTCCCAGGCATTTTACTGCAGCGCGGCAACAATAAGCAGTGTGTGCGTAAGTGCACTGAGTTTTGCAGCAATCAATGTTAATGTAAAAATGTTGCACAAAAAAACAGAGCAATGCTTTGCAGTAAAATACCGTCTTCTGACAAGAAGTCAGCGAATCGACCGCGTAACATCAAAATACTTTACATTTATCAGCTTTGAATGAATATTATTGTGTATATCTCTCACGTGTAAGATTTGTCATTTTGTACATATATCACACAGGATGTTTATCACTTGAATAAATTAATTTATTATAATCTAGTCACACATTCACAAAATTTAAATTCATAAAGTAAGACTATCGAAGACTTATCTATCTAATTATCTAAATTGTATAACTTTATGAGTCTGTGCGTAAGATACTCTTCACCCTGCAAATTCGCATATAAAAATAGCCAGTCGAAATAGACTTCGAATGTTTGCAAATTAATAACACGCGTCCGGAGCAAGATCGACGGCCGATACACGAAAAATCAATTCGAGCCTCGCACGGTAGTTACGATTAATTTGTCACGGCACAAGTGCGAGAGGAGGCATGAGAGAGAGAGAGAGAGAGAGAGAGAGAGAGAAAAAAAAAAGAAAAAGATTTCGATTGACTGCAGCCGAAACCGTATGATATCCATGTGACGTGCCGCTCATAACCGGTTCATCAAAGTTGCAGTTCGCTCGTCATTCATTAGCTGCCACACGACTTGGCAGCAATCGAAATGTTCGTCTGATGAAAAAGAGAAACAGCAAAAAAAAAAAAAAAGAACGATGGACGATGCTTCTGACGCGAGTGTGTTTCATCTTTCAATCATTATTATTGCGAAGACGAGCGGAGGACGCGATCACAGTGCGCGTCTGCCACATGGAGAAAAAATATTATTACCGAACGCAATCGAATCATTAATAGCACAGCGAAATAAGTGGCTTTCGCAAAGCAAAAGGAACCAGAAAAACAATAAATTAGCGAAGACAAATTAGCGACACGACGACGAAATCATCACGGGAGGTCGTTAGAAATTTGCCAGATATTACCGCAGAATAAATTTGCCTGTCTCGAAAGGTATTTTGGTATGTTGGACTTTCACGGATTATACGTGCCATTATACACTAGCGTTCGTAGATACACAGCGAGATGTCACAAAATGTGAAAAGAGAGTTTATACACTATTCTTATAATTAGTTTCGGACTCCAGATGAAGTGATTAATTTCAGACTGTCGATTTCCAACGAGCAAACTTTGACCCGCGGCTAATGCTTTAAAACACGTTTCTGTGCGGCAGAAACATTCTTAAGCGTCAAATGTCAAATCACATAGTCGCCACGACGGACAAATTACTGTCGACACGCATTTAATGGTGTCTGTGCCACATGCGCGTGGTACCATTATCTCTTACGGTCGTGTCTAATTATACACGCTTTAATACTCTAATTATTTTACGAATCAAACCCACGACCGATATTATGTGCGACAACAAAACTCGCTACGGCCGCAATAAAATTATCCGAGCCATCGTTTACGCAAAACCACTTGTTATTGTGGTACAACAATTTCTTGTTCTCACTGTTTTTCAGGACTTGGGGGAAACATGTCGCGATTCGCGTAAATATCCGAGACGTGTAAAATCTCTCTGTGTTGCACAATGACAGTCAAAACATATATCGGCGATGACAGTAATATAATAAGTTTTAAGTGTAAACAAGAGAATGGCGTCGATTAATGAAATATACGCTTGTGGATTCGCAACTCGACAACGTAAAAAGGGAAAACCGCGATCATCACCGACGGTCAATCGCCACCGTTGGCCATCATTGTCGTCATCGTCGTCGTCGTCGTCGTCGTAACTCGAGGACGCGTGTTTATCACCGCGTTACAATTGCGTTACGTGTTAATCCATGAAAACAAGGATTTATCGGAGTCGGAGCGGAGGCGAGACGGCGATGTTATTCAGCGGAACCGGTCTTCCGCGGTCATACATAGCTTTCTTAATTAATTTGTCATTAGTCGAGAGAGAGAGAGAGAAAGAGAGAGAAAGAGACAGACAAACAGACAGACAGACAGAGAAACGACATGTAATAAAATTTATCGGTAATCGCAACATTGCCGCGCAACGTGTCTTTTCTTTGTCGCGAAATTGCGTCGATTACATATTTTAGTCCCGATATTTAATGCACGCACGAGAGCAATTACGCGCGCTTATATCGCTCTCTCGCAAAAGCAGTCGTTTTATTCGCGTATTGTGACGATTTCTTGATTGCCGCTTGAATAGGAGGGAGTCGTATCATTTCTGCATCGGATAGTAATTATTATCGTAGGTCACGCGGAATGCGACCCCACGTTACAAACTATAATGATGAATTATATAAACGGGAATTCCTCGTGAGTTTAACACCAAAGGTTACTGGTTACGTCCAATAGGGTATATTCTGCGAAGATTTCTAGAGATATACTCTTTAAACGAGAGACGGGCGCACACAGTGTATAAAGGATTAAATTTTTAGCTATCAAACATAAAGATTAGCCTTTTGGTTAACGACGTGACGGACTATAGACTTTTACGCGAGTATCTCTTTTGTTTAGGAAGGTTAGACTGTGCACGACGCGAAAGATTGAGAAGATACATGATAAATCTGTGGTTTTGTGTGCCAGCACGACTTTTATGTTTCGTGGCATGTTGCTAATTGTAATAATTATACTCGACAAAGTTGTGAGTTGTGTGTTATTCTCGACATGTCATTCCGCAATTGCATGCAGCAAGTATGGTTGAATGTAATACAACTGCACAGGTTATTCAACAAGATTCGCACTCTTGTTATACAATATTGCTAGAAAAAAAAACTTTAGAGAAAAGAGTTTTCTTGATTTATTGTTAGGTGTAAAGCGTCTCTCGTATGCACTTTGTGACAACTTCGAAACAATTACACAATTTGGTGAATAAAATTGTATGAATTGTGTTTGCTTATTGATTAGTGTACGTTGTATATATTAGTACAGGTGTAATACGTACATATTAGATCGCCTTCACTTGTTCGATATACGTTGCTGTAACTTTGTAGCGTCGTAACATGTTACAATTCAACTTTCATATCGCGCCACCATAAATTCGCGATATTTAACGCAATCATACGTTTCACCTATAATCCATGAATATCTGAAATCTCGTACATAATCTTCGCTGCTATAGATTCTCGCGCTCTCTATGAGAGCGTGTTGCAAGTATGTGCCGATAATACTGCACGCGATCGCGCATAGATTGACTGTGGCCGTGCCAATTACTGCGTTCCTAATCGTGGCTTTGTGAATGGACTGAGAAAATCCCGGTGCGTATCCTCAATTAACATTTACTTTCGAATCGCTCGGGTGAGCAAAATACGCAGCTACACTAGATTGATTCTCCAGACTACCGATCGTTAAACGAACGCGCATTACGATCGTTCTTATACTTTTCGAATTATTTTATAACACACAAATATCGACTCGCTCGACGTATTTACGACGTTAGCCGTTTCGTCTCGAGTTGTAAGCACGGCCGACGCTACGTGTGTGTGAGTTTCTCTCTCCCCCCGACAAATTGAAATTAAATCTCGCGGTAATCAGAAGCGCGCCGGCTGGAGTTCCCACGTGGGGCACGGGACGAAAATTAATACGTGGCAGCCTCTGTAATTAGCTCTCGTATTTATGCGTCCCTCGCAGGGCGGGCTGCGTTAACATGGTAATGGCGTTACATCGTTGTAAACACGACATGTTATCTCGAGCCGATACAAACCTGGGGGGCCTCAAGGGAGAGAACACTCGCCGATCGCGATATTTCGGTGGAACTGCGTTTCTCCTGCCTTCGCGCCTGCGACTCGCCGCCGCGCGCTCGTTTTCTGAAATAATTATTATGCACCGGCGCTGATACGCCAGCTTTGCGCGCCTATTCGCCGTAAAAACGTCGTTTTAATAGTGGGAGATAACCGTTAAGCGTATATTCGGGTGTTCCGTTGCTGTCTCGGGGAGAGAGACGCACTTGTACGCAACACAAATATCTTGTCTCACTCAATGTATTAGTGAATGAAAATCGAGAGAAAGAAAAGAAGGATATTATCGTCGAATTTACATAAAATATGTGACACACAAAAGAGAAAAAAAGTAGAAGTATATACACAGAGATGTAAAAAAAACTCTAATAAAACTAAAATACTTATTAATTCTACTATTAATAAAAATGAAATGTTAGACATTGATTTTTCTCAGTGACACATCTACAATTATATTTCTGTATTTATTTGAAACTAAAAAAAATTACACGTATTGTCATGTATATGTTTCAGTGATAAACGCGGTGACACGAAAAAGTACGCAAAATGTTGATTACTTACGTCACACGGAAGGAGGGTAGGTTGGGTTACATCAGACTAGGACGACTGACAGCAAGGAATTAAAGCGCGTCGAATGGACGATTTGTCGGCGGGATTGGTAGGGAGCGGATCCATCTCGGTTGCGACGGGTGTTGGTATTATTGCCAACACGACATCCGCCACCCCAGGGTGGTGGACGCCTACGTCGACGATCACCTCGGCAGCGGCCAATACCGACGTGGTGAGACTTCCTTTCTGTTTATCTGTTCAATTATAGATCCGCAATATGAATGAACCTTCCTTTGAGGTTTTTTCATCTAAAAGCAATGACTATATTTCACCGCCGAATATGTCGCAGTAAACAATATAATGTAACAAAAACATATTACTACGCGCTTACATTTTACGCTTATTATTGTTAGTACGAAAGAGCACTTGCTCAATATTCGTCGACTGAAATAATACCCGTACATCGTACACAGGACGGAGGGAGTTTCGCGTGTCACATGGCATTTACGATCTTTCTTTTATTCGAATATATGATATTTCTGTGGCATTTAGTGTTTAATCACGGACCTCCGCGGTTCAATTAACTTACCGTGTTTTTCATGAATCGGACTGAAAGCGCGCACAGAAAATAGCGCGAGTTTATACGCTCGCGCTGTAGACGATTGGTATTTACGCGGACATTGGATTATTCTTCGCTAAATTACATTGAAACCTGAAAATAACGGAATTGAGAGAACGACACAGAGAACCTTCTCCTACTCCGAAATATAGGAGGAGCGTGTCACTCGTTTTCGTAATGTAAAAAGAGAAACACATTACGTGGCCATCTCTGCTCTTTTACCGAACGTCGCTCGTGACGACGCTTAATGAGACAATCTTCGCGTGAGAGAGACGTGTGGGTGGGCGATGGAAAGGATTCAGACCGACAATGATGCAGAGAAACCGGCGATGTAGATTATTTGTAAATATGCGAGAAGAAGCGCGGCACGGACCGGAGGGAGCAGCGCGTTATTTTGTTCCCGTCGATGTGTGGCGGTCTGTGGCCGTCGGGGATTAGAACTGAGGTGACACAGCCGCGTCATCTGTTGGACGTTTAACCTTTTTTGCCTCCTACCTCGGGCTGCACGTCGTTGCTCTTTCGCCGTCATTTCCGTGAGAAGTCATCAGCCGCGCATACGTTCCCAAGTTAATGAGATCGAAAGTCGTTTTCAAATACTTGCGCGCGCTGCTGCTGCGAGTCCGTGATGCGTCTCAGCGCTTACGTATAGATCGGTAGAAATCGGTTCGCGTTAAAATTATTTGTAAATATCCGTTGATTAATTTCACCTCTTTCAGACTAAACGCTCGAAAAGTAGCGTTCGTCTCTCTGCACGTTTACCAGTACCGATACGTCTCCCGTCTTTACGTTTACCAGTACCGATATTATGTAATGTAATTTGTCAGTATCATGTCGAAATATTTCACACTGCAGATCGCTAAGTGAAAATCTCTACGCGTTCGATCGCATAATTATTTTGTAACCGAAACGAATTCGCGCAACAGATCAAAATATTAATTACCTGTAACAATAGTTTACAATAATTATTACTCTCATTTTACTCAAATATTTACGAACAAACGCGCTCTAATTGACCGCGCGACGACGCTCGCGCGCGTTGTGATCAGTTCCGATCATTTCTGCTCGCGCGATCAATTTCTTCTCGCCGCGTTACGAAAGAGCAGCGACCGCTCAAGCACAGGCCGTTACCTTAGTTCACCCTTTTCGTGTGGGAATCGAGTCCGCGCGAGTCACATCCTCGCTCTTTGCCCGCGCGCACAATCCGCACGCTCACCCGCTCGAGTCCACGCCGCGCTTCCATACACTCACGCTACACACACGTCATCTCTCCCCTCGTCCCGCGCCTTTCTCGCGACGTCCAAGCGTATCCAAGCCGCGGCGGACGATGCTGTGCAGTCCGGTAATGACTGGCTAACTAGGTTTTAATAGGAACGCGGTCTCTCTTTCTCGGGCAAAACCGCCGCGCGCGCTTCTCGCCAATCGTTGCGCGCGAGAAACGGTCCTTTTTTTTTCCTCTCGCACAACGTCATTGTCGAGGAAGATCTTCTTCGCGGAACAGGTGTGCGCAATACGCGCGCGAATCAGCTGCAATCGAAATATTCGACGACAGATTTTACGGTTGGGAATTTCTAATTTACACATATAGCTGAATAGTTTTTTAAAAAATTTTTCGATGTTGAAATTGCAAATGTGTAGTTGGACACCAAAAGATGAAGAAAGATAAATTTTTTCTCCGATAAACGAGTTATCCGCAAGCGACTATAATGTGCGCACAAATTGCAAACTGGTCGGTCATATAAAACCAGCTTATAGGTTGAGAAAAAATTGTGTTATATACGTCACATTTTCCATAACGATCAGTTTGGTACGTACAAAAACTAATTCGTATAAACATTTGTTTATTCAAACTTGTCTTGATTTTTTGAAACTACGATTATAAGTATCGAAAACGCGCGTTATAATGTAAAATATTGTAAGCAATCATATTTTCCAATAACACGTATCATTCTCTCTGTCACATCTACATTCTATCACAATACTTTTGGTTGTTCTTGCATTTTGAGAGCGCGTGTATATTAGACCGGGATCGAGAAACCTTTTCGTGATTGGCAGACATTGTACGTGGATCAGACGCGATTGTCGAGCACATTCTGAACGCGTCCTCGGGTCCGGAGCGTAACCACATGTCGCATCTTTTTGTTGCAGATGAATCAGCTCTGTAGAGTTTGCGGAGAGCCGGCCGCGGGTTTTCACTTCGGGGCCTTCACGTGCGAAGGCTGCAAGGTCAGTATCTTCGCGCCGCCATTCTTCTACGGCTATTCATCCATATCGTTTATTCTCTCGTAACAAAACGGAAGAGAAAAGAAGAAAAAGAAGACAAAGAAAAAGAATGAGACGGACAGTGGCGACCTACGATCATTACGTTTCTCGCGAAGCGCGATATTTACGTCTGGGAGAAATTACGTAGATTGCGTAGAATCGCGCGCGTCGAGACAAAGAACAACATTATCGCGGACGCGACTTGCCCTTTGTAAACCTCTCGCGTCGTTGGTCGTTGCGCGATGCAAAGCGTATCCTCGTGTAAAAATAACAATCGGAGTCGTCGGTAATTTACCGTTAAATTAAAAATCATTGCACGCGTTGCGGAACAAGTTTCGTGCGCGCGTCGTTGCGTTTAAGAAGTTTAATTATGTCTCCACTAGCATCAGAGTCTCTTCGTCTCGCGGACTTTCGACGACTAAATCTAGCTTTTTGCTAATTAAGTGTTCATTTCAATGCGCGTCTCTAATAGAGCAAAAGTGCAAGTTGTTTATTCGCTGACCGAAGCATGTCTGTTTCGCTTTCTGTTGCACAGTCCTTCTTCGGACGTACCTACAACAATCTGGGCAGCATCTCCGAGTGCAAGAATGGCGGCGTCTGCGTGATCAACAAAAAGAATCGCACCGCCTGCAAGGCGTGTCGCTTGCGGAAGTGCCTGATGGTGGGCATGTCCAAGTCCGGCTCGCGTTACGGCCGGCGCTCCAATTGGTTCAAGATACACTGTCTGCTGCAAGAGCAGTCGCACCAGGCGCAAAATCGCTTGATCAAAGATCCCAAGTCCGCGTACGAAAAGGCATTCGGCCCGTTGGACGTTGCAAATAACAACAACAACAACAACAACACCGAGAATGTCAGTAATACTAGCGCGGGCAACATTGTTGGTATCGTCACCACGGCGACCACCACGGCGAACAGTTACCATCATCACTTGCACCATCATCATCCGGACCGATTGCCCAAACGAGAGGACAGTGCGCTCAGGCCGCCGGACATGCCAGTGCAGCTGAGATCACCGGAAATCCCACCGAGGACCAGTCAGGACGCGATCCTCAGGCCCGGAGATATTCCGAGAGGTCCGCACGAACTGCTCAGGCCCGAAGTCTCGAGGTTTCCCATGTGGCGAGGCCCGCCGTTGTTTCATCCGGCGCTGACGCATATGCAGTTGCTGAACACGCCGTTTTTCCCGTTCCAACAGCGCTTTATCGTACCTTACATGAATCAAGTGGGTCCGCCGCAGATGGTCGCCGGCTTGTCGAGCTCGTCCAGCGAGAGTGTAAGTCCACGATCGACACCATCGCCGACGAAGAGAAGCGAAGAGAATCGGGAGTGTCGCGAGATCGATCGCGACGTTGCTGAACGGGATCGATGCCCGAGGGGTGGGTCGATAGAAGTCGCGTACGACAAGAGCGTGGCGTTCCTGCGATCTCTCGGACCGGTACAAGAGGAACCGATGGACCTCAGCATGAAGGAGACACGAACAGACGGACAGGAGGTGGACGCCGGTAGCTTGGCAGAGGAGGAGGAGGATAGATCGAGCGGCAGCGAGGAAACCGAACTCCTGCAGGACACCGGTCCGCCTCTGGACCTCACCCGGAAGACATGACCTCGGATGCAAGACGGTGCTCAATAGGTGCTCAATAGAAACTCGATCCGACTGGATCGTTGCCGGTATTGTTCAGCATTCTCAAGGATGACCTGAAGAAGTGTCGTCGAGCAATGGTAGTTGGCTGGTAGTAGTCTCCGGCTGAAAAGAAAGAAATAAACAAGTGAAAAAGTGACAAAAGACGAAAAAAAAATGCTAAGGAAGAAAAAAAGAACGTGCAAATTATGAAAAAAGAGAGAATAAGGCAGAAAAAAGAGTGAGAAAAAATACATTGTAATAACGTGGTGAGAGAAGGCCAGGTGTCAAAGATGCTTTGGAACATAAGAGAAACAAGAAGATGATCCAGGAACAAAAAGAAGTAGCCAAATACGATTATGTTGGGATGACATGTGAAAAAAACGAGAGGAGGAAAAGAACAGAGTTAAAAAATAGCCGGAGACGCTGAAGGAAAGGAAGAAGTACCGCACGTATTAGCCAGCCGGCTTTACGATCGATGTTCGTCCGATCGATGAAAATTGCTCAAGCCTTTCGGTATTAGTCGACACACAGTCTCTTTTGCTCGTCCCGTGCGGCAACAGGTGTACGTTGACGTTCTCTCTCTCTCGTCGGGGAGAGAAACGTGTGACAGAACAATTGTGCCTTAATAAGCGGTGCCTTGGAAAGTGCGCCGAAATGAACCGCCGGTGATAGTTTAATGTTAACCGATATATTATAAATATTCGCTGATGGCCAGTGAGTGCTTCGCGCCGACGAATCATTTGGTAATACTCGAACCCCGCACGGGGTTCCATTTCCGTCCGTACGCCAAAATGTCGGCTCATCGAGTTTGATGTGATATAACTCGGACGTCGGATATAAATTGTGATTTCGCGAATGCCAAGTACTTTTAGCGTAACTTATATATTTTTCGAAACTCTTTTCGGACAGACAGGAATCACACGAACGCGCGAAGAAGACATTGCGATCGTGCCGATCCGCTCAAGTACAAAAAAAAGAAGAGAAAATGTGCGGTAGCCACGATCAGACGATGTGCGCAGACGACGCGGACATCGTGTCCGAGTCAGGAGTGCGAAGTTGAATAAAGAATATTATATACCCGAATATGATTGCCTTGCTCGCCAGTTCATTAAATCCCTTCAACGTTCATCAATCCTCGATATCTCGCGCGAGTACTTACTTACTACACCGTCCCAAACTCTCGAAAAGATATTCGATTACTTTCGTCTCGGCGCGTCTTTCACATTCCACGTCGCGCCGCTACGGACGCGCCGCGTTATACATGCGCGCGCGTATAGACGCGTATCATCGTACCTGCAATGTTATTTATCTAGCAATAAATTTGTCCGGTTTGATATACTACGCAAAACACGTTTCCCCGATAGTTTCGCGCCGACGATGCGACGCTTAGCGGGGAAGAATAATGCGAGATTCTTATCCCAAGTCGAAAACGCATGACAATAAATTTTCTTAAAAGTTCAGCAATAAACACGCGAGTATATCGATCGTAAGATTTTCTCCTCCTAAGGTCGCTCGACTAGGTCAGCCGGAGTTCCGTGGTAAAAAAAAACGCTTCTCGAAGGAGACGGCCGCTTGACGAGCGCACGAGCGACGTACTTAACTACGCACTAGGAAGTGCGTGCTTCTTGCGCGCGGAAGTTTTATTGCTAATTACGTTTACTCTGCAAAGTCTTCGCGAGGCGGTTTTCCGTCGCCGCGTAACATCTTCTCGCGCATAGATCTCCCGTAATTTATGAATATTCGTGTCGCCGGTAGGACCCGCGCCGCGGAGAGATCACGGTCGGATTCGCGACTGTTTTGTAGAAATTTATCTTGCAGAGAAGAGTTTTCACTCGTCTTGGAACGTTTCTATTTTGATTTACAGGTACAGCTTAATTATCTACAAAATGTTAATTTTGAAAATTTTATTATAATAATATAACGCATGCTGTGTGTGTGTGTGTGTGTGTGTGTAGAAGATAGTCTTGAAGACAAGCTGACTTCAACATTAGACAAACACATATCGAACACTTTACGCTGCAGTAAACTATACTGGACAGTAAAATATTAATAGATATTTGTTCAGATTTTGCGTAGCAGCTTTGTGCGTAGACTCGCGAGTAATCGCAAAAGATTATATATATTCTCGAAGTTAAATCAAGACATAATAAGTCTGAAAAAACACGAATTGTGCAAAGCAAAATATGCAAGTCTGATAAAATCCGTGTAAAGTTTGTCGGCTTGCGCGAGTTCCGACACGAGTTCTCTGTCAATATTCTCGGTCTTCCCTGAGAGTTGAAAATCTCAAATAATGCTTCGTATACATATTGCGAGCATGTTTTAGCATACGCTCAGCGGAAGAACAGAACGATTTATGTTTCTCGTCGTGCAGAACAATTAGTACCAAATTCATGAAATGCAACACCTCGACGCAATTCCTTTTGAAGCGCACACGCGCGAATTTTAACTGTAATTTACATGACTAATATTATACGACGTTTTATTAATACCAGTTTTTACATAATATGAATAACATCGCTTTTAATTTAAAAAACTTCTTTGTTCTCATCTTCCGAGTTAAATACTAACAGCGTTGTTAAACAGATTTTTTGCATAAGAAGCTCCAAATATCGTCGCGAACATTTTAGAATAACGCTGTTATTCGTGAAGCTTACAATTATCACTACATTACGCATTTAATAACATATCTAAGCGCGCAGTTCGCGAGTTAGAGAGCGCGAGACCATTTCTTCCGTCACAAACAAGTTGCAACTTCGTGGAGGGAGCTTTCAATAACTGCTATTCGGGATTCGCGTTTCCGCATTTCGATTTTTTAAGACTTTTCCGCGGTGATCGCATATTCGTGAAAGAATTCGCGAGTAACGCGTGACTGCACAATGCCGGGTGGTGTGCACGCACTTCGTCTTCGCCGAGCACCTGCGTGACTTCACGCGACACGCTCACACTCGTAACCCCGCGACTGTAAAATACCGAGCGAGTTGAGTCTTGTTGATTTAGGTGGGACGAGAGAGGCCACTCGATGTCCATCGCACGTGCATTTCCTGTCGGGGCTCGTGACGATTCAAGGTATTCTCGAAAGGGGCGGACCTCGGAAGATACAAGAGAAAAAAGTGTGACAAGTGTGCGATCTCGCACGTGGCTATTTTTTCAAATTCCATTGAAATTCTCAACACGTCACTGTCGCATTATTTCTGATATCTGAATGATGGGCAACTTTTACATACACATCCCGAACATAAGATTCTAAATGTTACAAACGTAACAAACAAGTTCATAGATTAAATAAACAATGTATAAAATATAGATTAGCTAGTAAGTAAAATTACTTCTTTAGTTTTATAAATGTACATAAATATTTTGAGATCAATATCCAAACAGTTTTTTGTTTGTTTACATCTTCGTAGATTTACATTTGAATTGAAAATAACGTAAAAATATCTTTTTTTTGTCAATCAATTTGAGAAAAAAAGTGAATAACTAAGTCGCTGGCAAGTGATGAAGTGACATGCGTGTCGCATGTCGAGTGGACGGTCAAAATTTGTCAAGACGATAACGCACACATGTCGTATCATCAAGACGATTCCGAAAAGTACATCAGGCGGTCGATCATATTTAATGCTCACAGTATCGAAAAGCGTGTAAAGTGCACGTGGCAAAATCATTAATCACATCTATCGGATTGACGTTGTCGAAGAACTCGATCGTTTAATCATTCTTGACACCTTGTCGAACGTGATATTCGAGGATGTGCATTATTCGCACGCGTTCTGAAAGCTGTGTTGATTCTTACTTTGACTTTTTTTTTTAAATAAAATTGTTGGTTCTTCTCTCAGGATGGATCACGCGCTAATTATTCCGCACATCTCGTTTATATTTTTTCTTACACACTTTTCTATCTGATACCGATCTTTGTTCCGAGTACTTTCTATTCGTATCTTCAAAAAAACAGTTTTGCTTTATTAAACATAAACAGAATACGGTACAACGATGCATTTAACGCGGTGACGCAACGGTTTATGTGCCAACCAGTTTCTATTCTGCAACATTATTCTCAGAAACTTATGTCTCTTCTGTGTATTTCAATTAGATATATCTTTTAGTATTGAAAAAATACATATTTGTATATTTTTATAGTAAGATTTTACACTATGTAACTTTTTATAAGGTGTTAGCTTTTTTTGTATGTACGCGCCACTGCGACGCGTTATTTATTTTTGATCTATTTATGTCTCTTTTTATTTGTCTACTTATTTCTATTTCTTTATCCGTCTATTAAACATCTACTTGTACAGGAATGTCTTCGTCTTTTTTGTATTTCAAAAAAGAAACTCGCTCTTTATCGTCGATGGTGCGTAATATTCACACTTTTGGCACAATCTTCGCGCCTTAAAATTCAGACTCGTCTTAATAATTCCCATGACTCTGTCTGTTATGCTATTTCAGGTGTATCCTTTGTTGCGCGGATTTTTTTCAGCGGCGCGCTGTTTTATGACCGAGAATGACAACGGCGTGTCATCCGATTCTGGCGTATCGTGTCTCTTTCCATTCGCACCTGCTCGAGTAATCGTGATGTTACACCGGCGCGACAAAATGGGCCCCGTCTCGAGGTCACTTCTCGTGTTGTCGAGTGGTCTAAAAGTCTCGATCACGTCATCGTTCGGTAGAAAAAGAAGCATCTGATTTTTTTTTTTTTTTATATTTAGCCACTTTTATTTTAACCACTCGAGAACCGTTCGATATTTCTACGACATGTCTCTCGGATTTACGAGAGTGTATACAGCATAATGACTCGTTCGACTATTGCTAAACGTCATCTTTCTTTTTTATCTCGCGTCTTCTAGTTGAGTTACGTACAATAAATCTTGTCGAGAAAACCGTACGCGACGAGATCTCCTCTATCTTATCATAAATTAATAAAAGTCTCTTTCTCTCTCTTTCTTTTTCTCGAAAAACAGAGAACAAGAGGCAAGAGAATGAGAGACAGAAAAACAACGTGACAA